CTCCAAAGCGGGGTGGTTCGGGTTGACTGGAGGATACTTTGTTTGTTACATTCGCTTCTTGGGGTGGGAGGTGTTTGATGGGGGAGATTGATGTGTGCGAGATTGAGCTGTTAGCATACCTGGAGGAGACCAGACTGGAGGTACATTTAACTAGCACATTCGCTTATATTTATTTACATCTCTTTTTTAAACCTATGACTGCTTTGCTGTGCTTTTATCAGTGAATCCAAAGAAAGCCCGAATAGAGAGAGACTGCGAACAACAAAACGCTTGCGGGTACCTACGTGTAGGTAATGAGCCTACTGTGGCAAAGGTGAAGAACCATGAACCTTCCCCAAATCCTGTCTCATCTGATCCGTAAAAAGGTTATAGATAACCTTCCTCAACTGCCTCTGCTTTGCATTTTTGCCCGCCACCGAATCTTCAGCCTTGAGCACAGTGAATGCACGCCGTACAAAGGGCCCAACGTTGCTGTTCTCACCGACAGTCTCCGAGGAGAGAGCCCTGAAGATCCTCTTCATGCCCGCCGATCTTTTGACGATCCTGAGGACCTCGGCGCCATCCTTCTGATCAAAGATTTCCCACACCTTGATCATATATGGCACAAGTGCCGCCAGTCCGGCAGCATACCTATGCTGTGGCAAAGGAGCTCCCGCTCACTTTCTTGACACTGCTGGCCCGGGAGATCTCGATGTCCTCTCCAGGCAGGATGAAATCCGATCTCTGGTGGAAATTGTCGCCCACAATGTTACCGCTCCGCGTCGCCGAGTTGATCTTGATGACACTGCTGAGGCCCACGGGGGAGAAGTTCTCAATAGGCAGGTTTCGGAGAGACCCAAACAACGCGGCCTTGTTTTTTTCAACAGTCTTCTTGATGAGCGCCTCAGGGTCGGGCTTGTGGGTGTCGTCATTCTTCATCTCGTACGTCCAGCCCATCGAGATGATATCTACATTCTGATCAAGGGCTCATTGCAGAGCCTTGACGCAGGATGCGATGAAAAACTTCTTGTTGGGTTTCGTTTGGCTAGAGTTATTTAGACGGGCGATCTAGAGCTCGGCACCTGGGAATATCTCGCGCACGCAGAGCGCCATCTCAGTTTCATGTTCGCGAGGCCGGACAGAGAACTCCACCTTATCCAAGCGGATTGTCTTATGAGCCAGGTCTCCGAAGATAAATAACCTGGGTTGTCATGGGGATATTATTGATTTGTATTCACAGTAACAGACATTAGCATTGATTTGACTACCAACAAGTGCGAGAATGGCCAATACTTACATTTCCCATCGACCAATATTAAGGTGCAGCAATAATCAGCTATGTTGTACCATTTCATTGTAGTTGCTGAGCTATATAGTTGCATTGTTCTTCCAAATTCACCCTTTCCTGCTCAGCTGTTCCCTCTCTGAAGCCATCTGAAGCGAGCTGTCCACGTTTAACTTTCCGGAATGCCGCTACAAACGAGTTACTACTCCTGTTGCCGCCTATTGACCACGCCCGCATCGCGTTGCCTTTTTCAGCATTCAGATTACAGACATTCTGCTCACCATGGCCATCCATTTTTCTTCCGAAAGCCTCGTGGGACACCGCTGTTTGCCACTGACAGCCGTTATGTACTTCGCCTTTTTCCCTTTCCACACCCTCATGACCCCAGCCGCCCAGCAGAGATTCGACCATCTGTGATTTTATCATCGATTACCACAGCTCATACATCATGTCTCGCATTCGAGACAATCAAGAAAAGACCTTTACGTTTGTGGACTACCTACCATGCCCATATCACTTGATATCTATGTGCGTGCTAATCGCTCTCACAGGATACTTCTGGTCGGGTTTTAAGATCAGCCATCCCAGAGCGCCCTCTCGCCGCTAGTAGAAACGATCCGTGGCTTGATTCCAGAGGCAGCATTGGTTGAATACAGCATTCTCGATCACGACGTGGATGAAAGCGTCCTCTCCGACAACGACCAATACCTACTGTCGGATTTGATGAGAAAAGATGCTGAGTTGCTGCTCGAGACAACCGACAGAGAGATCCTCCAAAGCAGTGGAACCAAACAGTTACAGAGGGGAGTTACTGTATGCGGGATGGGGGCTTGGGGGGGCCTGGTTGTGAAGCAGGTATGTCCGCGTTAGGCCCTCGCTCGTCTTCGTCGACGCGCCGCACATGTGAACAGCTCAAGACTGGTGCGAAAAGTGGCTACTACGTCTGATAAAGACAGCGCCTTCTGGAGATCTGCAAGAAAGAGTTGACAGAGTACTCTCTGGACTCGCCAGCCATGTCTCTGATCTCCCTGATTCGTTTCTCAAGCTCATGTTCAAGTACCGCGTTCTCAACGTGTCATCTGAATGTGGGCAACAAGACCGAGTGCACAATCAAGCAGAAGGCGCCCGCGGGGCCAGTAGTGCTCCAAGGATGCCAGGCATGCGTTTTCCTTGGATCGAGGATGTCAAGATCCAAGACCCTTTCGTGGGTCACTTGCCGAGTTTGGACCTCTTGAGAAAATGCTTCGGGCCTGACGACAAACTCATCGGCATCCCACACAGGGACGGAAGACCCCCACTCCACCATGCCGTTATCAACTCTCTTACATTATTGGACGAGTACATGCATAGCGTCTGCTACACATTTGGCGTCAACAGGCGTTCTCAACTGGTAGAGGTCCTTACCAGTTCTGACACGAGCGGTCTTCCCCCTCTGCACTTGGCAGCTCAAGAAGGCTGTTACGAAGCTCCACGGGTTATTCTGTATTATGCCACCCGCTTCGACATCCTTGAGGCTCTATTGTTGGCCAGAGACAACAGACAACACATTGCGCTGCATCACGCAATACGAAACGGGCAGAAGGAAGTTTTCAGGCTTCTGCATGGAGCGAGAATCAAGGGGCACACCTCGCCATGTACTCATTGATACCCCTTGCCAGACAATCTAGACGGATACACCACCCCGGAGGATCTGTCTGCAAAGCTAGGACAGCTTGATATACTCGAAATTCTCCATCCTACAGCAATAGATCTGACACAGTCTCTGCTCTCAGCGGCTGCTAGCGTAGACCAGTCGCTGACTGTGAGAGACTTGCTTAACCACGGCCTCAATCCGAAAAAGGCGTCCGAAAATGGTAAAGATACACCTCTAGGCTTAGCAGCGGCTGGTGGATTCCTCCCGGTGGTCCGACCTTTGTTAGACAACAAAGCAGATATCAACCTTGCAAATGGGGATCGGAATCACCCCTCTACCTTGCCGTTGAAAATGACAGGCGAGAAGTTGTCCAGGTTCTCTTGGACTATCACAATCAACCACAAGACTCGAACTCGAGTTCTTCTAGCAGTCGGTGTGAAGACGAACATGAAGCCAGTTACTTCAACCACATCATAGTCGATGCGCCCGACATTTAAGACTCACACCTCTTCCTGTGGCAGCGTCTCAAGGCAACACGCACTTCGCCAGCCTGTTGATCAAGTTTGGAGCCAATGTTAACGCCAAAATCTGCTGCACTCAAAACCCCTCTGCATCTGGCGGCCGAGAATGACAAACTGGAAGCTGCGCATCTTTTGGTTTGCCAGGGAGCTAATACTTTAGTTCAGGATAAAGGTGGGCGGTGTCCCACTGAGTATGCAATCATGAGAGGCCATACAGACATGTTCGAGCTTCTTTTTCAGGACACTGGGCACACTAGATATACTGGCGCACTACCACAACGCGATTTCGTCACTTCTGTTCAGTGCTCGGCTGTCGACATCGTCAGGTGCATCCTTGATCGACTCCCACGTATCGAGAATAGCTCCGTGGGCGTTGACTCCTTTCTGCACATCGCCGCGCGTGACTCGAACGGCGAGATAATCAAGCTCTTGCGCGACCGCCTCCCAGGACTTGACACAAACCAGGCAGGGGTCAAAGGAACGACGCCCATCCACGATGCCGTCGCTCATACAAATGTGGAAGCCCTGCAGCAGCTGCTGAAAGCCAACCCGGATCTGGAGAAGACTGATGACGATCGTAAAACGCCGTTGCTTCTATCTGTCCGCAAGGGTATGTCTCCAGGCATCTGCAGGCTCCTTCTAAATGCAGGGGCTGCCAAGCTACTTCTGGAGCAAGGGGCCCAGGTTAACAATCCGGGAAAGACAATGGCCCAAAGCCAGCATTACAAAGCTGCGTATACAGGAAACTCCAGAACTGTTGAGGTCCTGCTGAGCTTCAAGGCGGAAGTCAACTGGCACAACTCCCAAATCGTGGTCAAGCCTCCACGCAGCAATGGATAACCTAGCCATTTGCCAAAGCCTGGTCGAATATGGAGCTGACATCAATGCCAGGAAAAGTGACCTTTGGACCCCGCTTCATATAGGGTGCCACTGGTCAGTTCCTGATACTGTGCGACTCGTTCTCGAGAAAAGGGCCGACCCAAACCTCAAGAATGAAGACGGGGACGCACCATTGCACCATGCTTTGAGGAAAGAGTCACTCCAGGTTCTAAGACACAGCTGGCTGGTTAAGGAAGGGGATGCAAGTGTCATGTAGGCATGGTAGAGGTCATTTTCAACTTTGGGTTAGAGGAGTTTGTATGGAGGTGGTCTATAGAGAGGAGAGATACAGACAATGTCAGCTCGAGGACGGGTGTGAAGGCTGTAGTGAGACGGATGAACAGGGATATGAGATAAAGATTGGGAGACGTTGAGATTTGAATAGCAACATTGTGTTATGTAGATTGAGAATGGTGGGATGCAAGAATGACACCTTGTTGCAAGCCTGGAGTGGCCAATGAGATCTTTCTCCACAGCTTGAGGATGTGAAGTGCTTTGTAAGAAGAGATGAATGGCCCTTTATCATTGGGATGTAGCGACGAACCAGGTAGGTGTTTGGATCTTGGTTAATGTAATATGCATACCTACTCAGATGGTGTTATTTGATGGTAATTACGGCGCAAGTATAAATATGGCTTACCGTTCCTCTCCCCATTTTGTTACTTTGGAATGGTGGAATATATAGTTATAACACCGTAGTTCTTCTGGTTAAACTCTCGCTCAGCTGGAAACAGGCAAAGAGTTTCAATGACTACTGGAAAAGTTGTCGTGCTGCTTAGCATGATATGATGGCCACAGCTAGGGTACAGTTGAGTTACCCCGGCGGTGCGTCATAATGTAGCAACCAGCGAAGGGAGTATGGCGGTGCTTGGCTTTAGTCAGAGACACCATCGCATTGCTCTTGGTGACAGAACACGAAGAGTCATAATGTTAATGACAGAAGAAAAAACACCAAGGGAAACCCCGGGCACTCAACATTAAAAATTAGCTTAGGGACGGGGGAGACTTGCAAAGCCCCGAGCGAGGGTGGCGTTTTTTTGGAGCCCTCAAGAAGGCACATCCGTGGCCTCAATTATTTAAACCCAGAAACAGAAAAAGTCTGGATTAATGCTATCCATTGGTCAGATGATGGACAAAAGTAGCTTTAATTAATTCTAACCCCTACTAACATGATGGACAAAAAGCGCTGGGATTCAAGAGAGAAAAGTCTGAGATTAGATGCTGAAAAGGCTCAGATCATCCAAATAATTTACTTTATAGATAAGCAAAATCCCAGACTAAATACGTAGACAGAAGGATGCCTGAGGATTTAAGTACAGCCATCAAGCTGGCAGCAAACCTAGTCTACGTATGATGGTAGATGCTTGATAGCGAATGACCCGTGCAACATGGCAGGTTGTGGGATACTGGATTCATTATACAGGTAACCGACCGAAGCTTTCCATCCTGGACACGCAGAGATGGAAAGAACGGCACATCCCAATTTCATCGACGCAGAATTCACCAAACCCGGCGATCGCCCACGGGGCACATTTTCCCAGTCATCGACCAACTACACACCTACACATTCCCAACAGCACACGCGATCATGGGCAACTTGCAGTCAAAGCTGTGCGGCTCCGACGAGCGATCAGAGGTGGTCGACCTCTGGCTTTGGAAGATACCCTACAGCAAAAGGCATCATTGCCTTTATTATTTCGAGAGACAGCTTGTCGAATTCTGCGGTAGTAGGGCAGACTTCGACATGTTGGTAGGTCTTTTCACATCTACCACTCGTGCCGTTCCTGCCTTGTCAGAATAAGCAGCACTTGCTTACTGCTGTTTCGAAGATTTTCTACCCACCTGCACACCTGTGGATGAGAGATGGCACAAAGCTGGTTCCCACATCTATGAGATTGCGGATTGTGTTGAGGGGCTGCTCTATGGGAGAGGTATGTACGCCTTCATTTAGTCACGCAGGAACGAATCACAATGCTGCTAACACAAACTTGCGCTCTCTAAAACAGCGAGAGATATTCAAGCTGAAGGATGACAATCACCAGTACTGTCTCGAAAAGAGAGAGCTCCGAGAGAACGACGAGCTGCTAGACTTCCCAGCACCTCCCCAAGACCACCGGGTTGAGGAAGGGTTTTTTTGGTCGTCAAAGCTGTACCCAGCTCGTTCCTAAGGATGTTGTGAAGCAGTTTCGGTTTCGGTTTCAGCCAAGACTTTAATAATCACAAACGAACACACGTTTAACGGCAGAAAAGTCTCAAAGCACTGATCATACTATTAGAAGCTCATCTAATAAAAATGTCAATCCCTCCTCCATCGCGAGCCAAGCAAACTAAAGCCCCCAGACCCCCCTCCCCTTCCCTTTCCCCTTCCCAAATCCCTTACCCCACCCCTTCCCCCTCTTCCCCTTCCCCTTAACCCACTCCCCACCTCTCCCCGTCTTCAACTCCCCAAAACCCAACCTCCATCTCCCTCCCATTCCAAACAGTATAATACCCCTTCAACACCGGCGTCCCCAAAACCCACGCCAGCCTCCCCCTAATCGGCTCCCTCGCCGTCTGCGTCGGGCTGACAAACACCGCTTGACAGATCCCGGGCCTAGAGTCATCAAACACCCCCAGGTTAAAAGCCCCCTTCACCAACCCCACCTCCACCGACCTCTCCCCAGTCCCAACCGTAAAAGTGATATCTTCCGTCCACGCGATCTCATCCAACACCTCACACGGCCCTCCCCAACTCCCAAGATTATCCAGCGGCCCAATCTCAGGCGAGAGAAAATTGTAGATTTGTGCCGCGGTGGTGAAATCAGGCGTGAGAATAATCGCCGACCCCGTGTCCAGCAGCGTGACGTCGTCACGGATTGCAGAACTGGTGTTGCTCAGGAGGTACTGGCTGTTGACTCTAACCGCTCTCAATCCCGCAACCCAACTCGCCCTCATAATCGAAAGCTGAACATCAAGGCCGATGGTGCGGACGGTAGAAGGGTAATACAACCTTGCATCCGTCCCCCCAACCGTCAACTGCGGTTTTGGCCCCAACAGATAAAACCCAAACTCAGGCCCAAGATCACCACCAGTGTTGTTGATCCAGTTCCAATACGCCGTCTCAAACTCCGCCGTCGTGTTGCTCGCCTGGTCTGGCCAAAAGTCTGTCGGCAAAGGTCCGAGACCAAAGATGCCATCTGCTGGTTGGGTCGCCAAGCCAGAGGAGTAATAATCGCAAAGCAGAAACTGCTGGTCATAGCCAGTGATAGGAGGGGAGGAGATGGCGACCGTATCCGTAACAGCCGTGCAGTTCGCTCCCTGGGAGGTATTCGTCGGCCTCGTCCCCCCGCCCGCCGTCCCAAAAAACAGCTGCAGCGGAATCCCCGGACTGGAAGAAAACGTCGAAGACAAAAAAGGGTTGAACAAGTTCTGCTCTGGGGAGCATTTCGTGCAATTGTCCCGCGGGAGGAGGAGGTAAGGGGAACCAGTGTCAAAGATGACTTTGCTGTGTGTTGGGCAGAAGTGTTAGCTGATATAACATACCAGAACAAGAAGAAGCTTACAATCTCTGCGGGGGAATCCCGACAGTAATCTCACCCGCCCACTGAAGATCAGTCTTTCCCCTTCTCCAGACTTCGAGAGGGATGTTGACTCCCGACGACCACGTCGACCCGACATCCTGCTGCGCTTCATTCCCTCCAAGCCCGGGGATTCTCCCAGGGAACCTGTAGATCTCGTATGGCTCGCGGCGGTCGATGGACAGAGCTGATCCAGCAGCTACACAGAGCGCCGCGCTGGCGGTGAGTGAGAAGGGAAGCTTCATGATACTGAGTGTTGGGCGAGGGGTATCTCGATCTTGAACGTAAAATGAGTGTCGTGGAAGCTGGAGCTCGTATCTCGTGAAGCATCCAAGCGGTTTGTGACGTTTCAAAGATCGCAAGAAAAAAAGAAGAAAAAAAGCAGGAAAATATCCTCCTAAAGAAGATCCCATATCAAATATCATAGCAATGAAGCCATGTACAATTGTTTGTTGTTGACAATCCTTGGTGTGTCTCATCCATCAACCTTGTGTTACGATTGTCTACCCCTGAGAGGATAATACCAAGATGTGAGACCCACCTGAATGCCAGGCACACGCTGCCAACAATCAGCATCATGGCGACCGACAGAGCGGAACAATCCCAAGTAGCTTAGTATTATGCTCGGTCATCCGATCTGTCAAAAAATTCCAGCCCTTCTAGAAAAGGCTTGCGGAAGCAGGAGCAAGGGACAGTAGGCGATGGCGCAGGCAGGTCATCCAAGTGATCAAAATTATCAATTATGACGACATCAAATATCCAAAAAGCCATGTACACGTCGTCCGTGGTATTCTCCAAAACGCATGCAAACAAAAATAAATACCACAAGCCAACATTATCATTTTTGCCCTCCCACAGGACCACGCATCGGCCCAGTCGTCGCAAGTTCAGTCGGCACATTATGCCCCATCCTGAAAGCCGTCGAGTCAGTCGCTGACAACTCCGCCATATTCGGGCTCGGCCCCATCGGCGGGAACTGGTGATAGTAGGTAGGCGTCTGCGAGAACTCCGAGACGGTTCGGCTGTGGCCGTGCGGTTGGTATGCTTGGAATGAGTGGTGTGGATCATATGGCGAAGGTGATCCTCCAAGCCCTGCTTGCTTGGGCGGGTGACCGAATCCAGGGAAGGAATTTTGCAGATAAGGAGCTGAATGCCCGTCAGCTTGGAAAACCGGAGAAGTTGGGAAGGGACGTTGACTTACTGCTCTCGGGGCTGCTGAAGGTCGAGGTCACGGTTGGCTCATAGCCGACAGGTTTGAAGGTTGGAGTTGGCTGATAGCCACCTGCCTCTGTCACGAATGGTCTGATGTGGTTTTCTTGACTCTGTCGTACATTGCGTCGCCATCTCCAGAGAAGGAAGGCAATGAGGGCGAGGAAAAGGACAGCAGCTCCTGCCGCTATGCCCCCGATTGCTGCCGGGGGAAGGCCACTGTTTGAGCTTGGCGTGGTGGTTGAGAGCTCTGGTCGCGGATCAGCGCCCGTGGTTGGAGTTGGAGTGGCGGTTGGTGTGCTTTGAGTTGTCGAGGTTGGCTCAATGCTAGTGGTCGTGGGTGAAGTTCCAACGAAGATTTGGCGATTATCCGGGTCAGGACTGAGGCGGGCAGCAACAAGCCGGTCGGTCGGGCACGATCCTCTATGACATGGGTTTATCTTGCAACAACCCAAGAAGGGTGGTGTGTTGCCAGCACAGGTCCACCACAATGCGCTCGAATCCGAACTGTCGCATTCCTGGGCTGGAAGATCGAGGTAGCTGTCCTTGGAGAAGGATGCTGGCCGAAGGTTTTCTGGGGGACACGTTCCCGGTTCTCTCTGATACCCAGTGGTGCACGGGTTGATGGTGCAGCAGCCGATGAACTCAGTCTTCTTTCCAAGACAAACATAAAAGGTGCCACCACTGGGGCAACTCGCGCCGAGGGAAGGAGGGATGTTTGCCATGTCTGAGATAGCAACGTTCAAAGATCAAAACAAAGATGAAAGGGGGGACTAACAGAGCACCAAAGTCGCACATTGTCCACGAAAGAAAAGAGGGGCGAACACAGCAGAATATCTATCCCAGACCTCATCCACTATCGTCAACCAGGCTGTAGAGCCTGCAGCTGACACGGTGAGAAAGCTACAGTATGCACCCTTACCCGCTCTGGACATGGAGCCCTGCCAGTCAATCTCAACACCAACATCGATAGCTGCAAGCCCACCGCACACCCATTATGCAGCCGGATACTTCATAGCCACAATGTGCCATGTTCATGTTGAGCTTCATCAACTAGCTACATGACGTCAATCCCACCTTTCCTGTTGCCTCCATGAGTTGCATTGCCTCAGTGCCGACCATGTTTCGTTCCATTTATTTGTTTCATCGTCTTGAAACTCAAAGGGCACTTTTCAAGAACCACACTCTTGGGAATAATAGCACTTTCATGAGCCGGTGAGGGTCCAGACCGCTACGGCAATCTCCAATCCCCTAGCGGACGAGGCTGAATTAGCCCCTGCCCCAGCAAAGAAGAAGAAAGAGCCACACCAGATCCCGATAATCCCATATAAGCACTTAGACTCCAGACAGTGTCCACCCAGAGCGCCACTCTCCCTCATCATCCTAGTTGGCAAAATGAGAGGCGCGAAGAAAGAGCTAGCAGAAAGCCAAGGTTTTTGGCAATCGTATTTGACAACAGGCATCTGCAGCTCTGAATAAAAATAACAAGTGAAACATTTCTGCCTCAGTCAACCACTGGTGCCAAGTTGTGATGGGGTGCTGCAGCCGGGCGGGGTTCGCATGGTGGTGGTGGTGGTGGTGGTGGTGGGAGACAAACAACCTGGTAAAAGATGGCGTCGGGACCAAGACAAGGCTGGCGCAAAATGGTCTGGGCATTTGAGCTTGGGTTGTCGGATGGAGTTGGTTGAGTTTGGGGGCCGGGAAGGAAGGGCGGGCCGAGGGTTTGATCCGAGTGGTCGGGTTTGAGGAGGGACGAGGGTTGTGGTACTGGCGATGAAAGTGAGGGTTTGGTGATGGTGTTGCTGCTCTGTGTTTGGTGGTGGATGTGGGTTGCGGTCTCGTTTCGACTGGAGGGATGTTGGATGCCGAGCACAAAGTCGAAAGGCATGAGAATTCTGCAGGAGCAAGACGTGGGGATATAAGTGCCTGGTTTGGAAGACTTAGCACCAGCCGAAACAACATGGAGTAAGCTTGGGCTGTTTGGTCCAGTGGTATGGCTACGGCACCACTTCGATCCAAACTGAGAGAGACTAGGCAACACCGTGAGCCTGAGAACCCTGGACGACGGGGACGCCCCGAGTTCAACTCCCAGCAGGTGGTCAGGTACGGAACTCATTTGCATTTTTTTTCTTCCAACACCAAACTGACATTTTGCCCTCTGCGATCCAATTTTTGATCACCATCCACCAGCTAAGCCTCCTTCCGTGACGACTTGGGTCTTTAGGGCTCGATCGTGGTCAATGGATGGCCAAGCAGGCTTTTGACGGCAAACATCGCCTTGTCCTACGACTCTGTTTTGTATGGCAGTCAAGTTGTCTCGCCCACTGCCAATCCCAGCTTTGCACCCGAGATCAACTATATATGACTCACCACCTTCCTTCCCGGCGTGACTGGTAACCACGATTTGAAGTTCAGGATATGAGGTGTTTATGGGACTTGCCGCCGCTTGCGACGCCGGTGCCAGGAGGTAACGGTGACAGTCGCACGCCAGCTCAGCAGTCACACTGCTCGATGCATGGAACAAAGATGGAATGGGGCCGTCGTCAACTCTAGGCAATAGGACGACGACGCATCATTTCTCGGCCCAGGCATAACTACCTTGAATTGCCTACAACGGGTGGGAATCGTCCAACTTCGTCGCTATTGATGATGGCCTTCACACGTGTACGCACCATGATGCTGCTGCTTCTCAGCATTAGCAGCACCGTCTGCCATGCAATACCATCTCCAAACCTCAAAATCCAGACCTATATTACGCACCATAGTGGCAATACGGATGAGGTGCTGAATGTCCCCTTGTACCGGTACGTCGTAACCCCAAAATCTCTCCGCAAATTGTTTTTTCCCACCCCAAACTGTTCCTAAGAAAGTGTCTCGCGTGCCAGGACCACAGTCACAAATGCCATGATAGCCTCGGGGCCGAATTCCCAGTCTGCCCGAGAGAGTAACAGCAATATGTCGTGCTTCTCCCTCGGTTACGGTCTTTCAGCTCGAGACTGCGAGTACATGGCGTCAATCGGCATGTTCGACCAAGGCCGGAACGCCATCTATAACAACGGCAAGATGTGGATTGGGCGGGACGGGCCGAACACCTTCACCTTCATCAACGGTGCTGGGGTGCCGATCATTCTCGTCATGTGGTACGCTTTCAACAAGGACAACACTTCCAGTTTCATGAATATCCGCCGTCCCGAGATCACGTACTCACTCCCCGAGACCGGAAGCGCAGTCGAGATCTCTGTTGCGAATGGGGTGCCGGGGGGTTGGTCAATGATTTACAACTACTCTACTCCGCTGAGCGAGTATGGGCAGATCAGGAACACGTTCGGGGAGTTCAGCACGGGCGATTACGCCACGGTTGATGTGTCGAGGTTGGTGAATATGGCGGGAAACTCGGTGACCGTTAGAGTGTTTGGCCACCAGCCTGTCGACACCACTCTACAGCCTGTATGCGTCACTGATATGCGCACTTGCGCGTATGTGTGCACCAGCAGGAGTGTGGGATCGTGCGGAGCGACGGGGAGTTATCAGTTGGTGAACTGTGGCGGACCCAACGCGGTGGAGGGGATTGATGAACACGGGAATCCCACCGGCGGTTGTCAGGGGTGGACGAATGGGGGGCATATCGAAGTTATTTTCCTTTGAGTTTTGGGGATTTGGACGGGAATCGGCGGCTGTTTGTTGGGGGAAAAAAAACCAGAACGAGGGTTGAGAGTGGGGCGTTGAAAGGGAATTTTGACAATGTTTGATTTCTACTCTCATTATATTCGATACGAATAACCAGAGCCATGGACTGGGGTAACAGCCACAGCCTGAAAATGATTGCTCATGAAAAGTGAAGGGATTCCGAAGTTGCCTTGTGGTTGGCAGTGGATCATCAGATCGCAGGGGCCTGTGGGGCGATTGATAAGCTGTGTGGCTGTTATCAGATGGTCGCACAATGCCCCACTTCGCGACCACATCATCTGGGAGCACTGACCGTCTCACCACGGCAGATTCACCGGTGATGCTTTGTTGCACCTTTCTTTCTCTTCTCTCTGAAGAAAAAGTTGCCGAATCATTGTTTCATCGCTGATTTTGGCCAAGCACACGTGAAAATGAGCGACGCAAACAAAACCACCGACGTTGTGGCTCCCGCCGACGCGCCGGTAGTCGCACCGGAGCCCGTCACCGCCACGGCCCCAGCTACCGAACCCGCTGCGAAGCCGGAGGCGCCCGTCACCACCGCCATCACCTCAGCCACAGAGCCCACCGCTACCGCCACAACCACCACTGCTGCGCCTGCCGCTACAGAGACAACCGGTGATGCCAAACCTGAGACAGAACAGGAAGCCTCTCCACTCGCCCAGCTCTGGGAAGCCGCCAAGAACCATGGTCACCCTGAGATCTGGGGTGTGCCCCTTGCCGACCCGGCCAACCACATTCCCAGCCAGATCGTTTTCCAAAAGTATCTCAACGCCAACGATGGCGACCTCGCCAAGGCCAGAGACCAGCTGATCAAGACTTTGGACTGGCGCAAGAAGTCTGACCCGTTGGACCTGGTGCGCAGGATGTACTCCAAGTCCAAGTTTGAAGGGCTGGGGTTTGTCACCACCTATGTCGTGGACGGCAAGGAGGTTGATGAACCCGAGGAGAGAGAGATCTTCACCTGGAACATCTACGGTGGTGTGAAGAGCATTGATGAGACCTTTGGTAATCTGGAGGAGTAGGTTCCCCTGACAAGTCTCACTGCAGTAGTCAGCTAACTCGCAACAGGTTCATCAACTGGCGCGTCGCCCTCATGGAACTCGCTCTCCAAGAGCTCAACATCTGCGGCGCCATCAAGCCCATCACCGCCGACTACGACCCCTACAAGCTCTTCCAGGTCCATGATTACAAGTCCATCTCCTTCCTCCGCTCCCCTCCTCACGTCAAGTCTGCCAGCGCCGAGACCATCAAGGTCTTTGCGCAGAACTACCCCGAGCTGCTCAAGGAGAAGTTCTTTGTCAATGTCCCAGCTATCATGGGCTTTGTCTACGGCTTCATGAAGCTGTTTGTCGCTCCCAAGACCATCAAGAAGTTCCATCCCATGTCCAATGGCGCGAACCTGGCCAAGGAGTTTGCCGAGAGTAGGATCAAGGGGCTGGGGGAGAAGTTGCCGGCTGAGTACGGTGGTAAGGGCGGGGAGTTGAAGGCTGTGGGGAAGGAGCCTTTTTTGACGGCGGAGTAATTGGTCGATTGGAATCTGTTTAGGATCAATGGATTGGTAATGGCAAGAAAAGGAACAATAGGGGCTGATAGAGGGAATCGGGACAGAACGGCCTGTCTGTTTGTTAATGCAGAAAGAAATGGACTACACCAGAAATTGGCAACTACCATCATCACGAAGAGTGATGCCTGAATTGCGTCAGCCTGTTTTTATGTAACGTGCATAAGTATTGAACTTGAATAACCCCGCATTCCACATGGTGCTGTTTGGAGGACCCCACCTTTTGTGTAGCTAGCTATTTCTTTGAACAACCGAGTTTTGAACGGCGCTGTTTTTGTCACTACATCGTTGCCATCGCGCCCTCAGCTCATCTCCCAGACCACTGGAACTACTTTACCTACTGTGACAAAATGCCCCTCATAACCGGCCTCCACCATGTCTGTCCCGTCCCCTCCCCTCCTTCACTTGGTTGTAGCTAATATTCCATGACAGGTCAACCTCATCGTCCCACCCAACACCCTCCCCGAAGCCAACGCGTTCTACGGGAAGACGTTGGGTCTGACGCCCCGGCCGGTGCCGCAGTTGCAGAAGGACAGGCTGGCGTGGTTTGATATCGGGACGTCGGGGCAGCAGATTCATATTGCTTTTGGGAGGCCAGAGGTTGATTTCACTGAGGAGGCGAAAGGGGCGTCGAGGCATCCGTGTTTCAAGGTTGGGAGTTTGGAGGAGCTGGGGGAGTTGCAGAGGAGGGTTTGGGGGCATTTTAGGGGGGTGGGGGAGGAGTGGGAACGGGGAAGGCCGTTGGGGTGTGATGAGCCGGGGAAGGAGGATTCTGGCGAGTACTCATGAGGCGGGATATTGTAGGGGGAACGGTACTAACGGGTGGTTAACAGGTGCGAAAGGGGTCGAGTACCCGACGAGGTTCTTTGCGAGGGATTATGCAGGGAATCGCTTGGAATTTACGCTGTGAGAGGGGGTGATGATGGGGGTGGGGTCTTGGGGTTGTGTTCAGTAATCATCAGGTGATTGGGATGGCTTTCATGCTAGCTATGCTAATTGATCATGATAGTACTGAATTTGGATTTTGTTGGCTTCATACCTATTCTTTGATAAGGCTGATCGAGGCCCGGTAATCCCGTTCCCATTGCGGCCGAGTGCGGGTTTCTCATGGCATTCCCCTGTCAATCCTCATTCAGAATCCTAATATCTGCAAGTTCACGCTCAGACGTTCCTCACAGTTACATCAAGACCAAATGCTGGGTCATGCTGGCAGAGCATGCAGCTGCTATTGGTAAACCTTGCTCTGACTCAGCGACCCGAACAATAGAATCTTCGGATGTTCCACGCATACTTCTTTTCAGGGAGGCAAAGTTCCCGCGAATGATTTTGAAGGTGCTGTGCTTGGGCTCATTATGGGTGAGCACTTGCTTCTTGGCTTCACATATCGGGTTGGTGAGATGCCGACCCCGCGCCTACGATCAATGAGCGACCTCGAGAGGTGGAGATGGAGGGGAATGTTACACTCAAAAGGGTAGGTATCTTGCAGCCTGATGCGGATAAAAAGGGTGGTCTGCTGCCTGTTCCACCCTTGAATCTCTTTTGCTGATCTTAACATCCTTCCAAGATGGCAACGGACGAGATCTATGACTTTATCATTGTTGGTGGTCGGTAGCTATCAGTGACCCCTGTTTGCATGCTGATTATGGTACTAACAACGCTACAGGTGGTCCAGCTGGCAGCGCTCTGGCGTATGGCCTGTCTCAATGCCCGAAGCCGCCCAAAGTTCTCATCCTTGAGGCAGGTGGTGACAATGAAGACAAGAACCTTCGTGTCGATGGTCAGCGCTGGTTGACGTTCACGAAAGAGGGGATGAACTGGGGATATAAAACCACCCCTCAAGAATTTTGCAATAACCGTGAGATTGACTACTCTCGTGGCAAAGGCCTTGGCGGATCAACCGCCATCAACTTTGGTGTCTTTACCGTGGGTGCCAAAGACGACTACGACACTTGGGCCGAGATGACCGGAGATGATGACTTTGCATGGGACAAGATCAACGACCGGTTCAAGAGGATTGTGACAGTGCACCCGGAAGTTCCTCCGGGGACAGATAAGAAGTATGCCTCGCTCACACAAAACGGCAGCAATGGTCCGGTCCACGTAGGGTATGCCGCTGAGTTCGAAGAGGACCTCCTCCCGCTTCTTGAGCAGTTCGAGCAAGGCGGCTTCCCCCTGAACACAGACCACAATTCTGGCAACCCTCTGGGCATGTCGGTTCTCATCAGCTCAGCCTATCGCGGCCTCAGATCAACAAGCAAAGACCTTCTTGCCAACCTCCCCCCGAGTTTCACCGTCTTGACCAACTCCCCCGTGCAGAGGATCATTTTCGACTCCAACAAGAAAGCCACCGGCGTCGAGTCCAACTCTCGGGTCTTTCACGCCAAGAACGAAGTCCTTCTCTCCGCTGGCGCCCTGGACTCGCCTCGGGTTTTAATGCACTCCGGCGTCGGCCCGGCAGATCAGCTCTCCCAGTTCAATATCCCGATCATTGCTGACATTCCCTCGGTCGGCCAGAATCTCCGCGACCACTGCTTCGTCCCGCTTGTATACAAACGCTCACCCAACTCCATCACGCCTCTCTCCTCCCGTTCAGCCTTTTGGTCTGATCAGACACAAATGGATGTGGCTCTTGAGCAGTGGAAGACCAACCCTGGTGCTACACCCGTCAACCCCTGGGGCAAATACGCCTGTGAACTCGGCATTGGCTTCTTCAAGCTTGACTCTATAACCAGCTCAAAGGAGTTCCTGTCCCTGCCAGAAGAGGAGAAGAAATACTTGAACAAAGAGACCATTCCGCATTACGAAGTCATCACGCACTTCCCCATGCATTGGTTTCTCCCAGGCTTTCCCGCAAACCGAGGAACCAACACTCTTATCGATTACACCTGCTTCTTGGTCTTCCTCTACAACGCCCAGACTTTGGGGACTGTCAGACTCCAATCATCTGATCCGGCGGTGCCATTGTTGTTTGACCCCAGGTTCTTGGCTCATGAGTTTGACCGGAAGGCTGCCGTGGAGTCATTGAGGGAGATAGTCAAGTTTACTGAGAGTGAAAATTTCAAGCAGGGGGTGGATGTGGATGGGATTATTGCTGGTCCGAAGGGGAAGGACGCCGGTGATGAGGAACTGCTGGAGTATTGGAAGGAAAATATCTCTAGTAGTTGGCACATGACGGGGACGTGTAAAATGGGGGAGGTGGTGGATGCTGACTTTAAGGTGAAGGGGGTGGAGGGGGTGAGGGTGGTGGATATGAGTGCTGTGCCTGTGTTGGTCAGTGGGCATACACAGGCTGTTGCTTGTAAGTGAATTTTCTTGGAGTTGAAGTGTGAGGCCTATGGCTAACATGAGGGTAGATGTTACGGGATATACGGCCGCGGAGAAGATTTTGAGAGAGTATGGACTTTAAGTTAACTGAATTATAGAGATGAAAGATCAGTACGGTAGAAATGCTATGTAGGCCGTGCGGCATTAAATGGTGACCGAGCGGGGGTATCTTGGTCAAAATCACCTGGTACGGCACCTGTGAAATCTCTACTCCCATATCCCGTATCGCGCCCATTTCACACGGCGTCGTGTGGTAACTCCGCAGGGTTCAAGAACTCTGATCTGAAAAATCCATGGTCAAAAACATCGCCAGGAAATCATCGTATCTGTGTGACAGACTCGCCTAAACGCGTCCCTTAATCAGCGGCGTGCAAAATACCCTCTAGAACCTCAATGCTCTTCTGAAACCTCTCGTGTGCATTTATCATCTCCTCAAACCTCTCCTCGAGCTGGCCAATGTGTACCTGCAGACTCGCAATGAGGGCCTCGTCGTCCGGAATAATGAAGTTCGTATTCTCCTCTCTTTAAAGGTGCTCCTTCGCCAACGCTAAACGCTCCTCCAAATCACCATCCACCACATCGTCATCCTCATGCATATTCTCCTCCCACTCCTCATCCATAACACCAACCATCGCCTCATCATCCCCACCAGAGTCAACAACGCGGCTTTTTTCTCCTGTGAAAGAATTCCAACAAACTTTCCGCATCCTTTTCGGTATGTTCACAGGAAGTCCTCTTTGGGCCGGGCTCGTTGAGCCGTTTCTGGCGCTCAAACGGAAGCTTCTACTTGACGACCTCCCGACCATCGCAGATGCTGGCAATACGATTCATTGTCAAGAAATAGTGCTTACCCCTCGTGAGGGGCCACATCATGTCAAAATCAGCAGCTTTGTTAGCTCCCCAGACCTGAAAACAAGCGGCTCGTCGTCTTTGCTTGTATCCAAGGTCGGCTATGTCGTTGTCGGAAAGCATTGTATGTTGTGCGATTGTGTTGTCTAGAAATCTGTCAGCACCACACCTGTCTTTGAGGGCGAGATGTTCTCGACTTGCTTGCGTGATGAGGGGATTCCGTTTGAGCAAAGTGCTCTGAATATAACAATAAGGGCTATCCAAAACGCGCTTTCCCTGACTGAGGCTATCAACGTCCTGGTGGTGCCTTGGACTGCCTCTCGGGGATGCTGCCTGAGGAGCCATGATATCACCACTACCGGTGAGCACCTGTACCAGCAGTGCAAGATATTATTACAGGGTGATTTATGGACTGATGATTGAATATGTCCTCACAACGGATGATCGACATCTGATGGTGTTGAAATATAGCATTTGGAAAATGGGTGGTGAAATGCCAAGAGTTTCAAGACCAAAAGGCCTAGCCTCTCAGAGTATGTGACATCAGTCGTCTTCCATCTCCGATACTGCCTCTGCAAACTGTTTCCATAACTCAGACATTCCATCAACATTTTCATGCTCTTCTCCTCCATATAAAAGCCACATCTCGTCTGCTCTCTGGATAAATACCCCTGCCTTTTTCAGCTCGTTCAGCTCGATGTAAGCTCTGGCAAAATGGGCATAATACTCCACCAGCTGCGGCTGTAGTTCTTCTTTCTCGATCAACATCATCGCCTCCCTGACCAGCTGGTCAACCCTCTCCACACTCCCCAACTCAGCAGCCTTCCCCAACGTCTGGTAGATCTCCAGGATCCTGTCTCTCCGATCATCAGCAGCCTCCCTCTCCCTTGCCGGCGCAGCGCAAAGTGCACACTGACACTGAAACCCCCACGGCTGAAGGACCGCCTTCCTCTGCTCGTGAGTGTACCCGAGCGGTGCATCTGCAATCCCATGTCAGCAACCCGTTCTACCCCTAACTGACAAAACAAAGCAAACTCACAGCTATGCGCCACCTCCTCCCCCTTTCCGATTCCTCTCAGAGCAACCACTTCCATAGCCATCTTACTCGGCACCCACCTCCAAAACGCATTCGGCCTGCAGTTGTGATTCACCCTCGACCCCTCAAGAAAAAGCGCCAAGTGCCCCTCCCCCGCGATCTCAATCCCGAAGCCGTTTGTCCTTAGCACGTCCACGACTACAAAATATTATTAGCATACCCGTCCTGACTCCATCACATGACAATATCACTCACCCCAATCCTTTTCATTGCTAGGATTACTCCTCGCCAACCCCTCCACCTCCCTCCTCGTCTCCTCGGGCAGATTTCCCACCGCCAAATCAAGCATCCTCCTCTTGTTCTTGGCCGAGTACCGATCCCCATTGATAAACTCCAACCTGACGATCAAGACGGGAAAGCCAACCATTATCGTCTCGTGTTGCTTGAAGTTGCCTGTTGCAACCAGACCAAGGCCGCGGTTGGGGAGAGGGGCGATTTTCCATTTTTCTGCGGAGGTGTTGAAGCGGCGGAAGGGAGAGGGAACGAGGGAGTCATCAAGGGCAGGGGAAATTAAAGCTGCGGCTAAGGGGGGGAAGGTGATGACGGAAAGGCCTTGGTTGCGGATGTGGGGGGTGGTGAAGATGCAATCGGGGGGTCCGGACTCGTAGCCGTCTGATGGGGTTGGGCACCAGGGGGTGGGGGACCAGAAACTGCCGTCTGACTCGAGGGGGCAGGTTGGGATAGGGGAGGAGAGGAGGGGGGTGGGGAGGCAGGTTGTGTATTGGGCGGATGCGAGAACTGAAGAGGAGAAGGTAGAGATGACGAGGAGGGAGATGGTGTCAGGGAGGCGCTTCATTTTGATGTGGGGAAGAAGATAGGTCAGTTAAGTGAGGGTACCGTCATCTCGATCGTGGACGGTGCTGAGATATAAGTCGGCTTACAAGAGCGAGGAGCGGCAGAGACATGATACACAAACTGAACATGACACATGGTCGGTTCTTGTTTTAGTCTATACAGCCGGCTTAGCCAGGAAATTATATCAGACGGGTTTAGCCAATGAGGGAGGTTTTGTAGATTCTTGTGGCTGGTTGAGCTTGGGTAGTGGTGGTAATTAACCGAGTGGAGGGCCAGGGTCATTCCAGACAGAGTCTTGGGCAGGAATCAGGATTGGCTTTTATATCTATGAATGTATTGAAATGTCCGCATTCTATGAAGAAGCTGTTAATACTGATAAATGCAAAGCAATGTGATAATTATTCAATCCCTGGTCTTGTCTCACAATGCCGACTAGGTTCAAATGATAGTCGGAGGAGTCAAGGATCAATTGATGAATCAGGGCAATCTCAGGTTGCCAGACTGGCCGACACCGCTCCTTGGAAAGTTTAATATCTTGTTGACTGCCCCTGAATGTTGACCTTGGACTGGTTGGTTGGTTGGTGAACCACAGCAGTCTTGGTGCCGCATGTCGATGTCCGGAACCGGGTGGGATTTTGTGGTGTTCACGTCAAACACGTCAACAAAAAGACATGTCCGATGTGGAGTCTCCCTTCTTTGCTGTGACCGGGCAGCAACGAAACAAATACTAGTCTAAAAAAAAAAAATAAGAAAATGCGTGCACGTCCGCGATACCCGGCTATCTGGCCAACCACGGCCCGTCGTTCGCTTAAAAGTGGGGATGATCTACTCCAAGAAAGGAAAAAAATAAAAAATAAAAAAGGGGAGATGCCCTGGAAGCTCGAGCTCAAAAAAAAAAAAAAGACAAAGCTTCTTGCCCCTCTTCTCATTGTCGTAATCAACTCCTCTTTTTTTATTTTTTATTTTTTTTATCTTCCACTCACTGCCAACGTTCTTTCCTTTTTCTTCTTCCTCACTTTGCCTTCGCTCTCCCTGGTCCCCCACCACCACCACTTTTTTTTCTGCACCTGCATTCAACCACTGGCTTTCTTCCCTTCAAACATGCCTCCGTCAAAGAGAACCTCATTACAGGCGCAATCTTCTGCCTCCAAAGACCAGGTATGTGCCTCGTGTTCCGCCTCTTTTCTTTTTTTCATGAGCCCGTTTGTCTATTTTCACTCTCACTCTTTCAAAGCGGCAAACAAAGTCTCATTTTCACGCTCACCTTCTCGATTTTCAAAATCCTCATCTTTCTCCCTCAACCGCTCCATTCGATACTAACATTCTTCAACGGAAACAGAAGAAGAAGAAAAACAACACCACAACAGCTGCCGCACCAACGGCAACAACCGCACCAGAGGAGTCAGAGTCTATGTCTCCTCGTAATAGCATCACGGTAGCACATCGAACCATGCCTCCTCCTCCCGCTACACGCGCTCGCAGCAGCAGCGCTAGCAGCAAGTCAGGGTTAAGCTCTCTTTCACCCAGCCACAGCAGTCCGCCTCCAGTCAGTGCACCCAAGGAGAAGGCGATGCTAACCCCAGTCTCGGACGAGGTGGAGATGAGGTCTCCAACAAGTGCGAAGGCTACTCCAGTATCAACCAGCCCCAGTGCTAAGACTAACGGCAATCCCGTGGTCAACTCCGATACCAACGGCACTGTAGATGACATCCCGCCAGTGGTACACGCCAAGGGCACACTTCAGGTCATCGCTCCCAGGAAGGCCCAGTCACAGATGATGCAACCAGCTTACTCTTTTGAGTTTTGCAACAATATCGATGAGATCACTGTGCGTCAACTGGAAGAGGACATTGCTGCCTACCACAACGACATGGCCTTTGTTCAAGCCCAACTCTCGGATGAAACTCTGACCCCTCAAGAGTCCCGCACTTTCCAACTGCGGTTGCTTGATCTTAGCCACCAGATTCGCCATTGCAGGCACCGGATCGAACAGATTTCATTCCAGAACCGCAAGATGGCCAAACCAATTGGTTACAGCCGTCTTGCATACACCAATGTCGTTACCCCTATGGTCCCAGCAGCGACAGCCGCAGCCGCAGCGGCTGGCGGCATCAATGGCACGTCCTCCTTCACCGCCAAGCAGCGCCCTGACGGCACGGTGTCTTCGACGCCGACAACGTCGAAGCGCCCTGCTGAAGACGATGAGGATGAAGGAATGACGGATGGACCGTCCAAGAGAGCCAAGCAGTCCCCTTCACCGACCACAGTAGCCCAACTCACCGAAGAGTACGATTTGAGCGAGATCGAGATCGTTGACACGGGTGAAGAAGGCGACTTACCTGGCGTCATCACTGTTCTTCAGCGTCTCGGGTTTTGGAAGTGCCGCCTCTGCTGCTCTCCCAAGTATTTGCTCGCGGGCAGTGGTAGGTCACCGGCTGCGCCATGCAAGTGGCCACTGAAGGACATCAGCAAAATGATTACGCATTTTACGGAAATGCATAGCGAGCATAGCGTCAATGAGCGTTGTTATGAGTTGGGGATTGCGCTGGCCAAGAATCGCGGACCGTTTGAGTACTGGCTTCGGAGGACGAGGAATCAGAATATTGGGGATGGCAGGTGCCTTGACGAGGCGATTTACAAGTTGGTGAATGGGCAGATGCCCACTCTGTTGAGGCAGCATAGTCGGGCGGCAGCGGGGGTTGCTATGGAGTAGGTTATGGAGCTTTGAAGGGTATTGTTCTGTATGGATGGGTTTCGCGCTGCTTTCAGAGGGTTGCATCTTGTTCCTACGGGGTTTTGAAGCATAGGATTTTCGCGTCGCGTTGGTGGTGATGGGTGGTCAGGGCCATGACGTGAACGGGCCGTGATCGCAGGGCAAAGCGACACAAGAGCGAAAGCGATGGGGAGAGCGACATCCAGGACGAGCGTTCATACTGTATTGAATCCTTGTTGCATCAGATATTTGGTTGAAACACGGTTGGTGTAGTGTTGTGCGTGCTTTCCTGTAGTTTTACTTCACCACAGAGAGGTGTCCCTGGGATCACGGGCGAGATCAATCCTGTTCCGAACAGCCATCTGTGAGGTATGAATGTAACCCTCCACCTGCTTCCAGACCTTCGGATCTATGGTCATGTTAAAACATTTGATTTTGTACTCTTTGCAGTTGTCTCTCCCCCCACCTGACTCAACTTACCTTATCAGAAAAGCCTGTCATCCGCCAGCGGATATGGGAGCACAAGCCTGGGGTGCTGTGAACCCCAACAATTCACTTGGCTTCGGTCACTCACTCGTGAGCACCTAGACAGGAGCAAACGGTAAGCGCTCACCTATCACCGCTTGCTCCTACCCTGAGGGAATTGATCGCCATTTCCCGGGCTATGGGTCTCTGGTGGCTATAAAGCGTGATCAACCTCTGCGACTCCTTCCACACACTTCATTCAACCTCCTCCAATCCATCAGCTAGCAGGTACCTAACCAAGCAATAGAAACCTCAACACCAGCAGCATGATCTCTCTCACCACCTTCTTCACCAGCACTCTGGCCCTCTTTGGCGTTTGTCCATCCTCACTCCTTTCCACTCCTCATCCCAATTAACCCACCCAACAGGTTGTTGTCCACACCGGCTTCGGCCCCGAAGGCAAAACCATGGTCGATCTCACCTTTGACCTCCCCATTAACCCGGCCGAGCCGAACAGCGCAAAGATTAGCGTCACCGGCACCATCGAGCAGGCCGTTGCAAAGATGGAGGGGGAGTACCCCGGCTGGAACGCGACGTTTACGTCCCAGCCTGGTGCCGCTGGTGGTGGTGGTGGTAGTGTCTCGAGAATCTTTGAACCGGACCACTACGACTGCAATGTCCCTGGGGATGAGGACGCGTTGCAGGAGCAGATCTTTGAGGGGATTGAGTACCTCCGGAGGTTGAATGATACTGCTAGGAACGGGCCCGGGCCAGAGAATTGTGGGAGGGTTAGTTGTAGTTGGAATTCGGCTATTATTTGGTGTAATAATGTGAGTGTTATGAGAGGGGAGGGCGGAGGGCGGAGGGCGGTTGGGCTAACCTGTGTAACTGCAGAATGACTTTGAGAAGGAGCTTCAGTGGAGGGATATTGCTAATGCGGCGGCGTATGTTACCGTCAAGTGTGCGCTTGATGAGACGGTGTATGTCAAGGGGCATGGTGAGTATACTAAGGAGGGGTGGTATGTGGTGTTGCGGAGGGATTGGTGCTGAACAGGCTTGGTGAGTGGGGGTTTAGTTGGGCTGGGATGCAGTTTTTGAAGCATTTTTAGGTGGGAGTTGGGTTTATGGCCTGGTGTTGATGTTGTCATCACTTTGAGGCGAACACGGATAAGGCACCGAGTTTAGCTACTGAAATCGCATGGATCCTCTTTTGCGAATAGCTTCGCTCCCACATACCTACCTTCATTTTGCATTCTGTGATCACCAATTATCTCATCTCATGCCTAGAAAGTTTTGCTGGTGGAGAGCCGCGCAGGTGGGTTGGCCTCCAGCAACGGGTGGCATGTTCTCCGCCGCCCCTGCCTTACAACTCGGGGCTGGCTACAAAGAAAGTCAGATAATCATTCTGGCCCACAGCCCCGAGAGCCATTCTCGTCACTTGGAAGCACATATCCGCACGCTGCGGACCGGGAGCAATGGTGGACGTCACGAGCTCCACCTCGAGGTACAGGCCAGCCTGGAGCAGCATTAAAGCAGCACTTACGGCCGAGAAATTGTGGGAACATCTCGTTATTTCATTCGAATAGTTGAATCGGATCATGCAGTGAATCTACTTGCTCCTGGGTGGGCCACGGCCACTCTCGGGTGAGTATATATTCTTGTCCTCCTGCTCCCGTTGTCTTCTCCCCTTCCCTATCAATCCATCAGACTCACAACCACCACCTCCAACCACTCACCGTGATCACAATGTTGACAATCTCCACCGTCTTCGCCAGCCTTCAGGCTTTCTCCACGGTGAGACCATACCTCCACACCCCTTGACTTTCCATCATCAAAGTCTCACTAAGCAGTATCTCAGGTCACTGTGGCCATTCCCGCCCGCCGCGCCGATGACCCCGGCCCCAACTCGGGCATTGACCCCAAGGGAATCCTCGGCTACGGCACCGTCCCCATCTCCTGGGACCTCCCAACCGACCTGAACAACCCCTCCGCCGGCACCATCACCGTGACCGGCACAGTCCAAGAAGCCGTCGCAGCCATGGAAGCCGCCTACCCAGGCTGGAACGGCACCTTCCAGTCCAAGCTTCCGGCCTCCACCGCGGAGCAGCAGGAAGACGGCGACGATACCTCTGACTTGGGCCTCTTCTCCTTCCCCACGCGCGAGTCGTTCACATGCGACCTCCCTTACGTCCAGGCCAGCAAGCGTATGATTTGGGATGGCATCCGCTACCTCCGCACATTGAGTGGTTCGGCCAAGAATGGCCCCGGTAGCCCGGGCAAGGGCAACTGCGGGAGGGTGAGCTGCAGTTGGAGTGCGGCTATTTGGTGGTGCAATGATGTAGGTTTTGTCGTGTGTGATGTTGATCTATGGAAAATTACTAACAATGACGAAACACAGAATAACTTCGAGAAGGAGGTCGGGTGGAATGATATTGCTGATGGTGCTGAGTTCCTCTGCCGCTCCGACTGTGTCCACAGGAAGAAGGACGTCTTGGGCCAGGTGTTTTACACGGATAAGTGGAATGTGATTGCTCGTCACGATCAGAACAACTGCTAGAAACCACGAGGATGGTTGGCAAAAGGGCAGGGGGTGTTTGGATGGAGCTGTGTCCGGATGAGACAGCAATGATAGTCTCGAGTGGATCTGCGAGACATGATAGCCTCACATTGCACAAATAACAGACAGCTTGGTTGAGGATGATTCCAAGGTGAGCTTTGTTGTTGTGATATGTCCTGTAGCTAACCAAATGAACCATACAATCCCAGATATTCTATCCAACCCAGTACCCATCGTCAGGCCCTAAAACATAGACCAGCCCTTAACGGGTGCTGCACCTGTAGGATCCAATGGTGGTGCGATCGCCAAAGGTAGCGCAGCCGTTGACGCCGTTCTTCCAAATCTGGTCGCCAGTGCAGCCCCCGTTTCTGTAGAAGATGCAGTTCTCTCCGGTGCCGTGGCGGATGGAGACGATGGGGAGATGGCCGCTGCAGGCCTGGGCGGGGGCTCCGTTTCTGGCGTAGTGGGTGCAAGACACGCCCGGCATGGACTGGCCGAAGGTGAAGCAGGTGTCGTGGAAGGTGCTGCCGCGGAGGACGCGGTTCTGGACCTGGTCGTTGCAGATTCTGCTGTCGGCGTAGCCGATGACTGTGGAATAGGTTAGTGATGGGGAAGAGGGCAAAGGGAGGGGGTGTGGTTGACGTACTCTGCCAGGCTGAGGCGGACTGGGCCGCTGCGAGGAGGGAGACGAGGGAGGTGAGGGAGAGATGCATTTTGGTGGTTGGTTGGTTGGGTTGTGTGGAAGTGTAGGATGAGGATGGGTGAAGATGATGGGACTGATGGGGGTGATGAAGGTTGTACTTGTAGTTTTTGCATTGGCTCTTTGATGGAGAAGAGTTTATAGAGAATTGTCCGAGTGATCCAATCGCTGGTTTAGTCGGTCCACTGCTTGTGGAGGAGGATGTTTGCATTGTCGACCAAGCCATGGTGAATTTCTTTTCGTACTCGGCATCTTGGGTGTTGATGATCGCGAGTATGACGGGTGTTTTGGTCGGGGTGAGAATGGATGCTCCATAGCTCCATAGTATGAGTAGGGATGATGATCCTGATGTGGATTCACTACTCGTATGAACGAACCAGGGAAGATGGTGTACCGTAGTGTGGTGCGGTGTTGTTGCAACGTTAATGGGTAACAGTACCAGCGATTGGATGTCTAAGGTAGCGTACATTAGGGGTGCTTGTATTTCTTATTAATTGAGCTAGGGCTAGATCAGTGTGGAGATGTCGACTCTATGCTACTGATGGTCTAACTCCTTGGTTTACTTCCACCGATCTGAGTCGCGCGTTGTTGAGGATGTTGGGTGTTTTGGTCTCTTACCTTATCTTGTATGGGCTCTTCCTGAGAGCGTCAACCCCGAAGCATTGAGCCGTGGTATTGTGCGATACTCATGTCATCTAGCACATACATCATTCTCCAATTGACCTACATTCCACCTATCTAAATTTCCCCGAGCGGCCTCGGACTCAGGGTCCACGTCCCAGACGCTTGGGTCTTGTGTTGTAACCCCCTGGAGCCACGGGTACGCGGCACTCTAACCTTGAATCTACTAAACGCTCAGACATTGTAACCTTACATACCATTTCCTCAGATTTTCGGTACATGAATATCTGAGTCCGAACCTGCTAGCATGGTTTTCTTTCTGTTGCTCCAGCTGGGTTTATTCGCAATGCTTTCAACCATTGATGCTGACCCCACTGGACAACAAAGATTCTCGCGTTCACTCTTGACCGATCTTTGACTTCATAGCTCCAAAGACAACCTGGGCACCTCTTACCTGCCCAAGTGGGAATAGCTGTGCACAGGAAGGGTGGATACTGAGGAGCCAGTACCTTATGCTGTACCGGGTGTGCCGGTGACCCAGTAACCTGTATCCACCATCGCCTTGGGGTTGCACCCGAGGCTTGAAGCGGCAACTTAATCGGCGGGATGGGTCTGGCCAGGCGTGGAGTGATGGGATTGTTGATGAGGTTTGAGAGTCCGATGCTCCGGATGTGTGGGAGAGCAAGAATGGAGAGTTAGTATTGTTGTAGGACGTCCGTCGAGGGGAATCTCTGGGAAAGCTATCCAACGCCCGTCTTCGGCGTATCCTCAGATCTTGATGTCATTCCAACGGTTTGGTCTCTCGCACTTTGCGGTTCAACAACATATCAGAGAGATGGTAGTTTCAAAATCCCACTCATGAATTTCGCACGCAAAGCCATGCTGGCACGAATAGGGTTACAGCACGGTGGGGCTTAACCCCAGTGTGAGTTGATGACTAGAGGAGTGGAGAGCATCGGATCCCCTCTCTAGGGCCGCTAGTGGCAATTGGGCAGCTGAACCCTTCCCCTTTCCCCGTTAACGCGCTTCCTGTTCCTCCATCACCATCTCGTCGACACGTTGGTGACGACTTGAGTCCAATTCCCAGTCATCGGCTTCCCGCCACGTCAGTAGCCAAGATGTCGTATACATGGGTCAGTCATCTACCCCCCTTCTCCACCAAGACGCCACCGGTGCTGACAGCCTGGGTCGCTCAAGGTCCCTGAAGAGACACCAACCCCGGAGAGCCTCCACACATGTTCAACATTTGAGCGTCCTCGACTCTTCCAGGACACCCGGGTGGCATCCGACTCTAGCAACGCGGAATGCAACCTGATCACCTTCCTTGCCGCGGTCCAGAAGCACAGGCTGCCCTTTCTGCGCGAGACAGACTGGCAACCGTCTCTGCTGGCCAGAAAGGGTGGCCCGCAAGATGTGACTCAGGAAACGCTGAGGGAGGGCATTGACTATGTCTACAGGCACGTGTCGGAGAAGGACAGGTCCTTCCCTAGCGAGACGTACCGTCGTCTTATTGACGAGATCAATTTTCGTGCCGCCCAGTTGTGAGGGATCACACACACATTGCCCGTCTGCGTGGGATCTGCTGGGAGGTTCCGCTTGTGAAGCCCCTCGAGAACAGTGAGGCGTGGCCAATCCTTGTTTTCGAAAAGGCTCAATGGAGTGATCTTTGGCAGTTTGCGAGGACTCCGGCTGGTCGGGAGTTGGGGTTCGAAGAGCGACTCAAGATATGCCTTGAGGTTGGCCGTGCCATTGCGGATATGCATTCCAATCGTGAGTTGCAGCTGTTCCCGTGGTCGCCACAGTGTTCACTGACTCTTGAACTGGTTAGACATCATACACGGCGATATAAAGCCCGAAAATGTCCTCATGTTGAAGAGGGAGGATGGCTCGCTATCAGCCAAAGTCGCCGATTTTGGCTACCACGCCTCTTTTGGTAATAGTAGCAACCTGTTGGAGCTGCCCAACACCTCTCCATGGCATGCACCCGAGCGCCAGGAGCGTTCTAACCTTGCGCCAGCCGAGGTAATGACTGCGGATATCTTCTCCTTTGGCATGGTCTCTCTATGGTTTGTATTCGAAAAACAGCTTTTGAAGATGGCGCAAAGTCCCGATCATGTGCCCGTGTCCTGTTTGGATTACCTGAGTGACCCGGGGCCTGATAGGAGCCAGGCTATAGCAAACAAGCTTCGCTCCGCCAACTATCTGCCAGATCCAGCTATCTTGAAGATTCTCGCAGGCCAGCAGAGTTTCGCCGTGCAACTGGCACAAACACTGATCTCAGGACGGGATGGCCTTGACGGGAAGCTGGGGACTGAATTTAAGCCGCTTTTTGAGGGTACTCTTGCACTGGATCCGAAAGAGCCTGTGGCTGACCTGAGAGTGTTACTTGAGCTCAAGGCCCCAGATCCGTAAGTATCTGTCTATCAATGAGAAGAACAGGCTTTCAGTTGGTTATTATCATACTAACCAGGCGCGCAGGAACATGTAACCAATTGGCCTCGGCCCACATGTCAGAGGGTAGTTGGTGTGGACTTCAAGGTACTTATGAGCCTACCCAGGTACATAGTCAAGCTTGATATACATCCGCTGGCCATATTGCCCATGTAGCTCTCGGATAGCCTGCGGAGGCTATATGCCTGTGACTTCCGACTGCGGTATTGCGTTCTCAGAGCCCTCGCTGAGATAGTGGCATCCAATCCCGAGAGCCCATGCGCCGCCGACTTGGCACTTTGTCATGACATTTGCTTTGGGAGCCTGAAAAAGACCAAGGAAGCGACGGGCAGTAAACGGATATTGACCTCGACACTGATCTGGCACAGAAAATGGCTGCACTGGATTTGGAAGGACTGGGCTTCGCCTGGGACGAAATGAGCCGGATTAACTCTGGGGTCGTGAGGTCATACGTCGAGCAAGACATTCTCGCCCAGGCCGCAGCAGTGACCAGACAGGACTTGGAACACGTGCAGCATCTATTGAGTCCCGGAAACGCAGTGGTTCTAGACATCAAGTGCAGGTTGTTTGGGATTCTACTGGCTCAAGGTCGGTATGATAAAGCCAGAAGGCTCAACCGCAAAGTCATGACGGAGTCGACGGCAGCACTGGGTGCAAAGCACCGCCGGAGGCTCATGGCCTCGAATCATCTGGCCGTTATTGATTATCACCATTTCTACGAAGACGTTGAGGGTGAAGGTCAGAAGTTCCGGAATGCTATGGCACTGGCCGCTGAATTCTTTCACCAGTGGAAAGAGGCTTTTGGCGAACACGATCTCGACACATTGAAGAGCATGAGCCTTTTGGCAGGGCTTGTCGTTGAGCAGACGCAATGGGTTCGAGCCAAGGAGATCCATACTCCTGGTGAGGATTACGAAAGAAACGCTGGGGCATGATCACCCAACGACTTTGAGGAGGGTGGCAACGCTATCGATACTGCTGTACAAGCTAGAGCAGTTCACCGAGGCGAAAAAGGTATGCGAAGAGGTCTTTTCAAACCCGAAAGAGGCTTCTCGGAGAGAACCACGCGGCCACTCTCAATGCCATGAACCAACTGGAGCTCGTTGACAGCGGCGATGATCCCTACGACGACTTGGTACCCTTTGAGGCGTACACGAGGGGTATGCAAGCACTCCGTGACAATCACCGCACTTATACAGATTCCGTCATACACTTGACACCCAGAATGGCCGCCAAAGATGCCAGTGCCAGGAAACAGGCACTGGTCTTCCAGTGGGACATTGTGCAAGTCTACGAACGGAAGGATCCGATTCTGACGCGTGATGTGCGCGGCCTGTACCTGCAGACTCTGAAACTGGCCAAAGCCCTGAATGAAGACCAAGACAACAAGGACTTACTTGACCAGGCGCTCGGGTATCTGCAGTGGGTCCTTGGCGACTGTGCAAAGAAGCTGGGGGAGGCCAACAATTTTGCGCGCGAGGTGGTCCTGGAAATGGGGCGGGCTAACCTGGCGAGAGGCGAATTGGAAGAAGGCACTGAGCAGATTGGTACTGTGGTGGATGTACGAACTGCCCAGTATGGAGAGGATCATGTGGATACTCTTGTGGCTTTAGAGATGGAGGCGGAGGGGGCCTGGGAGATGGGCTTACAGGCTCGGGCACTTGATTGCTTGAAGGATTGTATCGAGGAGGCGAAAGCACTTGTGCGGTTTGAGGCATGGGTTTACCAAGAGAATGCGAGAACGCTGGCAGATGTGGGCTAGCCTTGGCAACGGTGGAAGAGGCAACTCTAGCGGGGGAGGCAGTAGGGGGGGAGGTAGTAGGGGGGGAGGTAGTTGGGGGAGGGGTAATAGAGAACGGGGCAATAGGGGAAGGGGAAGTAGGGGGCGGGGCGGGTAGGAAGCGGGAAAGAGGGGTATGTAGAAGACGACTATGGGCAGTAAGTCAGGAACGTTGGCAGGTTTCTACACTGGGTAGATGGTGAAAGATCTGTTCGCGCACAAATTCACATTTCGATACACATATTCAACCTGGCAGGTAACACAATGGACAGTCCTACCCACCCGGCAGAGCAAGAATTATCCTGTTGGGCGACAATTTATTCGGCACTTTATGGTGTGACATTCATATTGGCAAGTGCCGAGTGGAACGAGAGCATTGATGCGACACTCTGGTCCCAGAGCCACGTCCCGATGCTGCCCTAGAAGAAATTATATCAGCTTTTCTAAAAGTGCGGACGCGTTGGTCACTATGCCGTCAGCAATATTTGAGAAAATGAGCTGGTTCTTGGGTTGTAGAGATGGAGCCAGATTTAGACTTGAGGACATCTTGCGTTGGAGGCAAAGAGGGACGAGTGCCTATACCTTGTTCATGGGGCTGTAGATGATGTTGTGTAAGCGCTTGGTACGACATACTTAAATGTGTCTGTTTGTTGCTAGGTATGGCGTGATGGTATAAGGGCGGTTTGTGGGAACGATACTGAAATCATCCTTTGGGTTTCAGCATGAAGCACATCAGATAGCGGAGGTACCTGGCCTTTGCGGAACTCATCCATCTCCTCCTATAACTCGCAGCTCGGCAATCGAGTTTGACTCCGTATCTGCATGATCCAGATTAACACCAGTCCCTCGATGGGTATCTGCCTTGCTTGCCAGATTGCAGAGGGGGTGTTACACTACATTTGCCAGTACGGAAGGTATCGTCAGGAACCGCAGCTTGCATGCCCTCGTTGACCCTTTTGATGACCTACTTCGCATGGCGATCAATTAGAATATCCTGTAGGCTAGGTTTCACAGCATTGAAGTTGGTCACTCCTCTGACGGTCAGGACGGCAAGCTCAACACCTGAGGTGAGACTGGGTTACCAGTCCCACTTGCTAGAAGAAGGTGGGTGATACACTCACCGAGTTCTCTTGCACTATTCCGCTATCTCCGAGGTCACCAGCGCAATTCTTCCCAACTATCAGTCACGTTCAATGCTACTGTTGCTGTGACGGGATGAGACCAAAAAACCCCGAGCTATCCGTTCGCTTGGGAATAAGGTGGTCCTGTCAAATAGATTAAGTCGGTAGTTCGACCTTTCAAGCCATTCAAGCGAGGAAAATAGGAAGGATCATGTGGCATCAGGGATTGCATGGAAGAAGCCGTTGGGGATTCTGAAGGAAGTTTTTTGTGCCGCGCTATTGCAGTCTAAGAACAGGGAAACTCGATGGCTATGCTGTGGGAAATATAGTGTGTTTAATATCAAGCAATAAGCGATTTCCAGGCGCCCGGTTCTGCTCTGTGAAACTCAGCCCTGCCCATAGGTTAAGTGACGAATTGACAGCTAAAGATCGACAATCTTGACAGGCGGGGGGACCTGGGGTAACCGTGCTGGATCGGACCCAGACCAAAGAAATCAAGCTGCGGATTTAACACAGTTTTCGATCTACATACCCGATGAATCCCTCAATCACGAAAGTGACGGTCATAGCTACGCCACGGCGTATAAGCTAATAGCACCGAATCGCATGGCTGTACTTTGCAGTCTCCTCGGAACAAGCTGCCGAAAGGTCCTATTGCCCCTCAGCCACGCCACAAAAGCTGGTCGCTGATGGGCGTCGCCCCCCTTCTCAAATTTTGAAACCAATCAGTGCTTACCCTTTGCGAAGGAGCAGGTGCAATCTCCCTCAGAGAACACGAACAGAATGCCGGCATCCTAAGGTTACATTCTTCGCACTGCGACGTTGGGACCGTGCAGGAAGGATGTTAGCGAACTGACACGTCCCGCAGGCTGTCGTTGGGACGGTGGCATCCCATGCAGATCAAAGCCGGGCTTCGCACTTCAGCGAGTCCGTTAAGGGATGCCGAACCCCTATCGTTCTTCCAGAAGCTTACGAGCTTAAAATAGATGAATATTGTGACGGTGATATACATCTTGTTTCTCACAGCATTAATACAACGCCATCGCTAACTCCGCGAACCACCATAGTTACCCCTGGGTATTGTTAGTGGTGGGCTTTTACAATATGGACAGGTTCGAGAAAGGATTCGTAAGCTCTTCAATAGTGTGATGTCAACTTCCAGCCGCCGTAACGCTCAATAATCAATACGCCCATAGCAGACTAACAAGGTTGGCCGTTTGAACTTAAAAAGATGAGATGACGGGTGGCGCCGGCTCGAATTTAGGTCTGTACGACTAACCTCAACTTTGGCATAAGGGACGTTTGTAGGCCAAGCAGACGTCGGATGCGATATGCAGCCGTCTTACTCATGCACTGAGATCTCGACCTGATTCATGTGATTAAGAAGAAGCTCGTCGGATCTTGTGTGACCAATGCCAGAGCCCTGGAAACCAACACGAACAACGATGACGCTCTGGCAAGGTTGACAAGGACCACTTGCTCCCGGGAGCAGCCACGTGCAGCCGCACATCACATATCTCCACTGCTTACCTACTTTCCTACCCATGAGCCATGGGTCCTAGGTACTGTTCCTCCCGACAAAAACGGCTCCCGCGCCACACTGACCTTGACAGCTCGCGGGTGCGCTGCGCTCGGCCGAATCCTTCTTCACACCGAACTCTGCTCCATACCCAGGGTAGTTGGATACCAACTAGGTTCCCATCACGAGAGCCCTCTGACTCCTATCCGCAGTCACCCACTACGGAATGTGTATCCCCACGCGCGGCCCTAATTTTCATCCCATATTGCGACCCTAACGTTGACGCAAAGTACACTCCGCGGCTCGTACCACGTGGCCCCATGTCCCTCATCTGAACAATAGGGGCACCCGCAAGCTGAGAGCAAAGACCCAATCCGAGCTTGTCACCATTCAAGGAAAGGATCGTCACCTTGCAGCTTTTATTGACATCTAGCGCCTCCTCTGGCATCAACATCAGCCATGACAAGCCCTCGAGAGCTGATGTCGTATATACGAGACGGCACAAAGTTCCTCGACAACTTCATCGTGTATCAGGCACTGATACCTAGTCGTTCAGGAACAAACATCACAATACTTAGACACGGCTCTTTGATCCCGCAGGGTGTGTGCTCAAGCTGACCACCACCGCCATCCCCACGCTCTGGACGAATGCGGCGCTGTTAAAATTACCATCACCAATGCTTCCCTTTTCTGTGAAGTCTGCCTGGAGCGGTGGCATGATCGGTCCGCCGTTGCGGATGAGGCAGGATGAAGCTATCCTCGTGGACATGGAGTTATCGGGCTGGCCGGAAGCCTTCCTATACCCTGGAGGAAATATTGATTTCAAAGACGCCTTCGTTGAAGACATCACGAGTATAAGAAGATGGCCATGTGCGCGTTATCAAACACCTTTGTCTCACATCCTCAAGCTGAGAAAGAGCCTTCGGCATACTACCTACTTCTTACACTCTTTTGACATCATTACTTTGCTTGACCAGCCGGTCCATCAGACACTATGAAGCAGACGCTTCTTGCCCTCGGGGCTTTCTTTACAGCCGTCACGGCTATCGCCCTTCCTCTTGACTCTTTGCAGTCGAACCCTCATCTCACACCTCTGAAGCCTCGTCAGGGTTGTGAAAACACTCCGACTTCCCGTGAATGCTGGGGAGAGTTTGGTCTCGATACCAATTACTACACCACCTGGCCCAACACCGGAAACACCAGGGAGTACTGGCTCTCTGTCCAGCAGGGAGACTGCTCCCCTGACGGCTACCTTCGAACCTGCATGACCTTTAACGGCACTATTCCTGGCCCCACGATCTTTGCCGATTGGGGTGATGACCTTGTCATCCATGTCACCAATAACATGCTGGAGAACGGGACAGCCATTCACTGGCATGGTCTCCATATGAGAGATAACTCTCTTAATGATGGTATGTTGACTTTCTCATACTACTCCCCCACGAGGGATCATAATGTTAACGGGTGTTGATAGGCGTGCCTGGCGTTACTCAGTGTGGTATCCGCCCTGGTGACACCCAAACCTACCGGTTCAAGGTCACCCAATATGGCTCGACTTGGTACCACTCTCATTTCTCTCTGCAGTACGCTGAAGGTCTCTTTGGCGGCATGATCTTCAATGGTCCCGCTACTGCAGACTATGAGGTTGACCTTGGCAACTTGTTCCTCTCTGACTGGGGCCACACCGAGGCATTCCATCTCTGGAGTACTGTCGCCAAGGGCGGTAGACCTCCCACGCTTGAAACAGGTCTCATCAACGGCACCAACACCATTACCCCTAACTGCAACCCTGCCACCGACGCTCGCTGCGTTGGACAGGGTGCAAAGCACGAGATCATTTTCAAGGAGAACACAACATATCTTATCCGTCTCGTCAACCCAGCTGTTGACTCAGTGTTCGACTTCAGCATTGATCAGCATGACCTGACTGTTATCGCCCAAGATCTTGTCCCAATCAAGCCTTACACCACAGACTCGGTTCAGATCTCCATGGGTCAAAGATATGATATCGTCGTCACAGCCAAACCCAAGAACAAGACAGCCGACGGCAACTACTGGCTCCGCGCCGGACTCATCGCAGGATGCAGCGGTCCCAACCTCAACGCTGCAAGCATCACCGGCATTGTCCGCTACGACGAGGATAGCACCGCCCTCCCCTCCTCCACCAACCACAACACCATTTCCACCAGCTGCCTCGGCGAACCTCTCGCCAGTCTCGAGCCCTACCTCGAACTGAACGTAACAAACATGTTCAACACCACCCTCGAGAACCTGGGCACAAGGCCACAGGGCGTCGACGGCGCGGAGTGGTTCCAGTGGACGCTCAACACCTCCTCCCTGCACCTCGACCCGTCCCACCCCACGCTGGAGCACGTCTTCAACAACGAAAGCATCTTCCCCACCCCTTACAACGTGGTGGGCGTGCAGCCTTCCGGCACCGGTGAGCAGCAGTGGCAGGTGCTCATCATCCAAGACCAAACTCAGATTGGGTAAGTTTCTTCCCCTTCCCTTTCCCCTCACCATCCATCATTGACTAACGCTCCTTCTCAGCGCCGCCCACCCAATCCACCTCCACGGTCACGACTTCTGGGTATTGGCCGCGGTCCCCCAAGCAACCTTCAACGGCGACACCTCCGGCTTCAACACCGCCAACCCCTCCCGTCGCGATGTCGCTGTCCTCCCTGGCCGCGGCTACCTTGCTATCGCGTTCGAGCTCGACAACCCCGGTGCTTGGCTGGTGCACTGCCACATCGCCTGGCACGCCAGCCAGGGCTTGTCCCTGGAATTTGTCGAGAGCCAGAGCAAGATCAGGAGTGGACTGCTGCAGAGGGACATCGATGAGTTTGAGCGGACTTGCCAGAGATGGACGGGCTGGCCGCCTGTTCACCCGCAGGAGGACTCTGGTATCTAAGTGAGATTTCAGGCTCCTAGGAGGTGGTAGTTTCCTTTGTACCTGCTGTACCTACATGGGGGTTTCTTTGAGTTTTTGGGTCTTGGATAACTGGTTGGTGGTTGCGCATAGACGGGGTCTCGTTATGGGGTTGTGTGAGTGTATGAGAAGACTTTCAAGGTATTTTGTGCAGGGTACCAAACTGACAGAGAAATGCACTTTTCGATTGGGTTTGTCATTGAAACATTGGTTCGTGTGCACTATGTGGGAATGAGTAATGTTTGGTTGAGAGATGTGTGGGTAAGTGATGCCTTCGAGAGTAATGTTTCAATGACCAAGCGAATCCTGGACAGTCGTATCTTATGAGATGAGAAGTGCCTGGATAAATCATGCCTGGACAGGTAAGGTAATGTCATGATGAGTTGTGCCGGAATGAGTTATGTTGCGACGGTTGGTGCCTCACACATAAGGATTACCCACAACGACAATGTCTGTATGAGTAATGTTTGCATAGTCAATATTTGCATAAAGAATATCTGAATAAAAATGTCTGATTGACCAAATCGCTTGATCAGTGATGTCTTGATAAGTGATGCCTGGGCAAATGACACCCGGAGGTGTGAGGGAGGGTGTGAGAGACTACGCCTGTTGCATTGTTGGGTAGCATGGATGAAGTAGCGTTGGGTTGTTCGATATGTTCCCAGGCAACAGACGGAACGCTACAGTCAACGCGGATGGCGTTCCTGCTCTCAAGTGGACCTCCACAAGTCACTGTCAGTTCGCACATCGTACACAAATCACACTTATTGAGCGTCTTCCAGTCTTGGAAGATACACCTGCTCAATCCTCACTCTCATGACCCTCTCAGCAGAAGCAGGATCCATCCCCTTTCCCTGCTCGGGACCAGCCCTCATCATCTTGCCGACCAAGAATCCCAGCTTGCCCTGGGGGTAGGCTTTGCTCTTTCCCTGCTTAAACTTGAGGAAGTCCTGCAATACCTTCTCCTGGCCCTCGATCACCTCATCAGCAATGGCCGCATAGTCTGCCTCGGTAATTTCCTTGTACCACAAATCTTGACTGTCAATCTGCTCAGTCACTCCACCAGTCGCAATCGTCCCCCGGAAAACATCCCAGAGCAAATCCTTCGCCACCTTGGCCGTGACCTTCTTCTGGTGCAAGTAAAACAAAATGGCAGCCAAATCCTGCTCCGGTACCTGACTGGTGACCTCCTCAGCCGCGGCCTCCCCCACCTCTTCCGCCTCAGCCAACTTCCCCAACTCATGCAGACACCAATTTGCCGCCAGCATCGCATGCCTCTGCTCCCCCCCTTCCACCGCCTCAACCCCCAACATCCTCTCCAACTCCTCCAACACCCCATAAAAATACTCCAACCTCCCCTCCATCAACATCAACGCCATCGCATCCCTCTCGCTCAACCCAAACCTCCCCATCAACACCCCAACCTCCTCATCCGGCAACATCCCCATCGTTTCGCCCAACCTCTCCACCAAGTCCCCCCCAATCACCACCGGCCCCAAATCCGGATCAGGCATATACCTATAATCCACCTCTCCCTCCTTCCCCCTCAACCTCCTCGTCTCCATACTCCCCAAGCTCCACCCCCTCGTCTCCCCTTCAATCCTCCCCCCCTCCTCCAACACCCTAATCTGCCTATCCCTCTCAGCAATAATCGCATCCTCCACCGCCTTAAAACTACTCAAATTTTTAATCTCCGTTCTCGTCCCTAGCTCTTCTTCCCCAGTCCTCTTGACGGAAACGTTGACATCCGCTCGTAAACCACCTTGCTCCAGCCCAGAAGTACAAGCATCCACGCTCTTAAGCAGCATCTGCACCTTCCTCACAAATGCCGCCGCTGTGGCGGGGCGGTGGATACACGGTTCGGTGATGATTTCCACCAGCGGCACACCCACCCTGTTGAAATCAAGATAGTGCGTCGAGTTAGGCTGCGCGAGGGTCTTGGCCGTGTCCTGTTCCATTTGGAGTTGTTTTATCCCCACTGTTACCTGCTCCCCGTCTTCTGCTGCGATGCCATCTCGCGGGTACAAGGTTACCGAACCTGATCGGGCAAAGGGGTGGTAATACTGCGTTATTTGGTAACCAGAAGGTTGGTCCCAGTGGAAGTAGTGTTTTCGGTCGAATCGGGAGATGGGCTCGATGTGGCAGTTGAGGGCTAGGGCGGCGCGGATGGCGGGGATGAGGGTTGTTGGCTGGAATGAGGGTTGGGAGCCGGGGATGGCGAGGTCAAAGGGGGCGACGTGGGTGTTGGGGTGGTGGTGGTGGACTGCGTCGTCGGAGCTGCTGCTGGGGGTCGAGGCGGGGGAGAAGAGCTTGGAGGGGGTGTTGAGTTGGGCGTGAATTTCGATGCCGACGGTGAGGTCCCAGCCGGGGACGGTTTGGTTGTCGGATTTTTTTAGCTTTTTCTTGGGGGAGCCGGAAAGTTTGGCGGCTTTGGCTTGGTCTTTGAGTTGTTTGCGGAGGGGGATAATCTGGGGTTGCTGGTCGGAGGGGGTTGGAGGGGTGGTGGACAGGGTTCGGAGGGGCGGTATTGGTGGTGCGAGGGGGGATGGTCTAAGATGGAGGCAGCCGCGGCGGGTGAATTGGCCGGTTAGAAGGTATTTTCGCAGCTCGGTGGTGGGTAATCGCGCCATGGTTGCGGTGTTGACTTTGGCATCTTTAAAAAAAGTTCGAGGCTTCATTGGGATGACGTTGAAGCTTGGGTGCGGTTTTGGAGGTGGCCCAAGCTCCTTTCCCCTGTTGCCAAGACTTGCCGCTAAATGTGGAGTCTCCTCCACAACCTCCACACTCTTGCCACAAATATAATTGAGTAGGTTAACATGCCTTGAAGGTCAATCCGTAGGTCTTCAAAAATAGTTTAAAGGCCACTAAAGAAAGGTAACATGCATGAAAGATAGTATAAACGCTTTAAAAATAATTTAAACGCTTTTAAAAACAACTAATAGCTTTCAAAAGATTATGAAAAGGCTTATAAAGGAAGTTAATAGGCTTTATTTTAAATATGTCGTAATACTATTAGGTTGGGGTATGGCCACAGGCCTGAGGGTATGAGTGAGGAAGTGGGGCTCTCGGAGGATTTAGGGAGTTCAGGAGTCATGTATATAAGCGGTCTGCTTCGGACATTCTATTTTAGACAGAACATCGACTTTTATTTCTTCAAATTTTGTGCCTTGCATGCGTGCAAGCAATTTTGGCCCTCTGATCAGGCTAGTCCGGTGCTTATTATATGGCCTACGAACCCATAGTGTCTTTTCTTTGTCTTACGTGAAGTGCGGCCTGTAAGCGAGTCACTGTCATACAAGTAAGTTCATTCAGGGACCTATTAAGGGTATATTTATGGTGTTATAGTTGTTTTTGTGTATTTTCTTACTATTTCAGCAGCAGGCTGTGGTGGCCAATTAAGTGAAATAAAACGGCGGGGGTGCAGGACGATGGAGCGCTTACCTCTTGGCAGAGGTGAGCCGGATCACTAGGCTCACCAAGTAAGCGTAGTGAGCTAGGGTAGATTACCACCGCTCATTAGTAAGCAGTGGTGAACTGGGTACGGAGGTACCTGGAGGATTAAGGTCTATATATACGGAGGGACTAGCTAGTATAAATAAACAGTTCTGTAGTATGCAATTTTATAAGTTACAATCGTGGTTTCTTAGCTATTGAATTGAAACTAGCCATTTGTTGTACACTGTTTAGCTATACTGAACCAGGATTATTCAGAAGTGCTCTTAATTAGTATCTCTTTCAGAAGTTCTGGATAGGGGTTCGTCACACTATTGCAATTTCCTCTCCTTTCTTTTTCAGCTTATAATCAAGTTAGTTCATATAGTATTACTGTTGCCCTGTCCCAGCATTTTCTTATTAAGCTGTGACAGTTAGAGGGGGCAGTAAGGCCCCCGGCGGTATATGGTAGAGGTCAAGTGCGAACTCTACTACAGAGTACTACAGTAGAACTACAGAAAGCTAGCGCTATAAGTACAGAAGGTCACCTACTATTGCTCTGTTTTATAGTGCCGTAAAGCACCTGAGCCACGCACACCCAAAAGTAAGCTACTAGTACCGTATCGCAAATTTCCGCTGCACCGTAAGCACTAAAGTGCTACACTATTACAGGGCCCTTAGGCCTGTATATGGGATATTAACTTTCAAAAATAATGAATAATAATATTTATACTAACTAAAGTTTTGATAACTTTTTAATAGTGTCAAGACGCGCCCACCCGGCCTCGGGCTCTAGTGATAGGGGGAATATTTCATCATCTGGTCACCACTTTGGCACATGAACCTTTTCGTAACGTCAACAGCCACAAAACTAGCCACCAACTGCCCGGACGTTGGCACGAAGTGCAATTTCAGGTCTATTAATACGCCTAAGACTGCTTTATAAACAGCACCGATTCAGCGCAAGTCATGGTCCATCTGTCAAGGTCAAGGGGAGCGCCCATTTTGCGACAATATCTAGCCATCAAGACTTCTTCTGGTCCTTTCCAGAGTATATCTTTCAGCCTCGCCTACCAAACGGAGAGTTTGAGATACCACATACAGGCTTATCGATATTCCCAGCAGCGCACGATGTCGTCTCAATCTCCTCCTTCTCGGTGGACGACACCGTTCCCGATCGGCGACCATGTCCGAGGCAAATCGGGAGTCATGTACAGAATTAAGGATGTTCTTTCCGACCGGCAGGACCCTTTATTGTGCGTCTATCGCGCCAGGTACGCCATCTCCATAGCCTGTATTAACCGGCCTAGAGATGTAGGATATGCGCTGCATAGTCTCGAAAAGCGACGCTCAAGGCAAAAGCTTCATTGTCAAAAACATGATACCTGATGAGTTCGAGTATCCCTACAAGCTACAACAAAGCCTAGCATCATCCTCGAATCTTAGGGCAATGATTGACGCAATTCCCGATCAAGAGATCCTAATCTACCCCTACTTGGCCTGCGATCTACTTCGTATCAGTCAAAAACAGCTTTCGGTGGACGCCCGAAAAGCAATTCTCAAGCATGTTCTAACGGGTCTTGCTGAGCTCCACGATCGACGAATGGTCCACACTGGTAAGTGAGACTGAGATCTGGGTACTGAAGGCGAACTGCCCGACAATAGCTGATAATGGCTTCACATTGGTGGCAGACATCAAACCAAACAACATTCTTGTCGACTACGAAGACTCCCCAGAAGGAAATATCAGTGTCAAAAGTGTCAAGATCTCGGATCGAGAGGATGCTGTACAACTGGAGCCCGACCAAAACCTACTCGGCTGTCTCTGTGGGAATCAGCTGTGGCGGAGTCCCGAGTCCCGGTTGCGCGTCCGGCAAAACACACCCTCTGACATCTTCTCCTTTGCCATCACCGCCATCTACGTTATGCTGGACGAGATGATCTTTCTCGTCCCCGACGAAGAGCTTGCGGATGGTAAGGAGGCTTGGCAAGCGATTCTGATGAGACGCGTCTCCTACTTTGGCGACAACGACGGATTTCAGGGATTCCTGGAACATATTGAAGAGGAAAATCCCATGTTTGAGTCTTTCATCGAGCTCGCACTGCAGGTTAAGCCAAGAAAGTAGTTTTTCGAATGGCAATATGTCGATCTGGAGTTCAGAGATTTGGTTGTAAAGATGACCAATCTGGATCCAAGTAGGCGGATTACTGCACGGGAAGCTCTTGAACACAAATGGTTTATGGAAATCGCTTCGTCGAGTACATAGATATGTGGATGCGTATAGGAGGATCTTTTTACCGCTGTTATTTCTTTCTGCTGTTCACTGGTGCGTTCCCCTCGCAGCGCTGCATGGCTAATATATATATTTATAATAATTGAACATGCCGTCCACGCCTAGCAGACTTCCCTTGTGAGCGAGGTGACAGGTTACTCACGCTGCTAGAAAGAACCCCAGATAGATGCGTGCAGGTGATGACATAAAGCAGGGCCTCACACGTGTGCCTGCCCGGGAAAAGCCCAGCCAGAAAAACGAAGCTACCTACCTGCGCTGGTCTTTAGCTTTATTAGTTGAGTGTTCTGGCGCAATCCCGATGCCCAGGCAGTTTTATCTTCCCCGCACTTTGAAACTTATTTTCTTGGAACCAGGATTTGCCCCGTTCAATCTCCTCGAGACAAACCCCTCACAGTAGCCCTGAATCAACTTTAATGTTGGTCCCCAGAACCGGTTCAATAATCATGAGTTCAGATCAGCCACTTTCCTTCCTTACTTCACATCACCCCGCGACACCATCGTGCCCAAGGCTCTTGTGAAGGTTGGGCAGATAGCTGCGCGTTGCCGTGCCGATATCGTCAGGGGAACTCCTGCAGAGCTGGGATTCTTATAATGTCACACGTCAACAACCAACCACCGTGAACACGGCCAACAACACTGTCGATACCACTGAAAGGAGGGGTAACTGCACGTTGTGAGCCAGTGGTCAAAGTGAGGCAGACAATCACAGGCTTCGCGGTTATTAAGGAAATGATATTGGTCAACCCGAGATATTGAAGGACTTGGCAGCAGCCTGAGGCCACAATGCACGGACCACTGGGTGAAGGATAAAGACGCGTTCTCAGAAGCTGTTTGTATTCCTAGACCTTCTTCTTCTTCATCACGCTCTTCGAGGCCATTGAAGATTATTAGCCTGAATTGAACCATGAGTTCCAAGCTCTGTTATTACAGCCCTTGTCACATATAAGCATGGCTAGTGTAATATCCATTGCTAACGATATGGGAACTTTAGAGCCTAGTTAGTTGGGGATCCTTACCCAAGAGACGATAGATTCCCCGCCTGAAATTACCGTACTCTTAGTACCGAACACTAGTCTCCGGAACTATGGTTCACATTTGTTGATGAACCCGGAAAACCCGTCCTCCTCCGACCCCGGAGGAATAACCTCACGAGTCCCACAATCAATCCCCTCAACCTTCCACATCGGACTCATGTTCAAGACGTGAACATATAGTACTTTATCTGAAATGTTCTCCACTTCCAATTCGAATGTCAACGCCCTCTCGCTGTGGACAACCTCTACTATTTGCTCTTCTGGGTTTGAGATGACGGTTCCTAAGCGGCTTGTGATCTGAGCGGTGAAAGATTGGGGAAACCTCAGATTTGACCCAGCGCCGCCATGGTGAACAAGTTCCTTGACCAGTGAAAATCGGGCGAGGTGTTCGAGAACATCGCCCACGTTGTTGGCATCGAGTTCTTGGTCTTCAGTTACAGGGAGATCGGGTAAATTATTGACGACCTCTTGAATGCGGGCATCCCTGATGATGTATTTCGTGTTGCCATCACTGAGAAGGACGTTAAATGCAATGGGTTTCTCGTGAGTGCCATTGGTTGGAATACCTTCCAGCGATTGCTCCCTGAGCGCTTTAGTCCATTGATACTGGCATGGGAGACTGTTGGGGACCCCTATGGCAAACCTTCGAAGTGCGACTCTCGTGCGGGGAACTGCAAACCATCCAGTTTGGGCAGTATAACCTCGATCTGGCTGAAGTAATGATGTTAGCGGTCCCGATGACCCTGCCTGACACATGATCTTGGATCGGGCCGTCCCTCTCCGTAAATGGAGGACAGATGCTAAACTCATCTCCTATACAAATTCCATGAGCTCGCCCGCCATGTATCTGGAGAGTCTTGTCCGACAGCCTCGTAATTGTAACAAATTCTGAGGTGTTCATATTCGTCGTAGAGGCGGAATGTTCGAAGAAAGACCGATGCTTGCTTCCATAAAGTTCGGGACTTTGTCGTGAACAGTACTCCCGCACCTTGGCCCTCACATAGCTGTACATGTCCCGTTGCCTTTTCCCGAGTCCACCATACTCCTGGAGAGCCTTGAACAGAGAGTATGAAAGGACTCCATGGTGAAATCCATCAGGAAATTCGAACTCATGGGCTTTCTCGTGCGGGCCGCTTGCAGTCATAACAGAATACCCCGTGGGATTCAAGAGCCAGTTGTCCTGCATCAACGCATCGCGGATTATTGTTGATGGCTGTATGTCATCCCGTACTGACCCTTCCCCAGTCTCCTTGGTCGTCGCGAAATGGCTGAAAGGAACGAATCGGACTTCGAGGTCATCATCACGATAGAAGCTACCAGAGAAGCAACAGTCTAGGACAACCGTGACGAATAGTCCCTTGTCCACCAACCCTTTCAACAATTGCCCAAACTTTGGTCCTTGGAGAAATCTAAGCGAGTTGGGGTTTCCCGGTTATTGTAAGACCACCAAAGTCAAGTCCAGCTGAAGACCTGGAGAAGGAGCCGTACGGTTGGCATCGAGTCCCATGCCGAGAAAAATGAATGTAGACAAGTCACCACTCTCGCCCTTATGTTTGACCGTGTTTATAGCAGCCACAAAATTTCGGTACGTTGCTTCAGCCGGTGGGCGGAGGCTCGCTCTTTGTGCGTGGATACTAGTACTTGATGAGGTGCATGTCAATAGTTGAATTTGGACATCTGGCGCTGCTAACTGAAAGTATGCCCCGATGTCCAAAACATCCTTTACTGATCCCTGGAGGGGCTTGTCAGGGTTGGAGTTGATGCGACGAGGATCGCGAAGCGAGAAGCCTGTGCATGGCTTCGAACATGAACCTCTGGGAATGCTGGTAATTACATGGAATCGTTGCTGGGTATCGCCGAGTCAAATGACAGCAGATGCTAGTGTCAATGATATTCGTTGTACAGAGACGCCTTCTCTCCGCAGAAGGATCATCGAATGATAACAGGGTGGTGAATATGGTCAATTAGCTCGACTACCGTGGAAAAGACAGCAAATTTAATTGATGAGAAGGTTGCTACAAGTATTCATCAGAATGGCAGCCTGACCCAGACTGGCCAAAGCTTCCAGCGCCCACGACCTGGGGCCCACCGAGACACACCGCTTCTCGCATACCCCGTATTTGATCAGGCTGCCACCAGATCATCCACATCTATCTCCTCTCCATTTCGGACCGGGTTGCCCTTTCACCTTGATGAGATAGTTACATACTCTTTGTGACTGGTCATGGGTTCTTTCTTCCTGGTAAGCGACAGCAAGTTTTTTTGTGGACCGGTATGCTAAAGGTGAGAAAATAAATTCCTTCCACGACCTCAACCAGAAGAATTTGCTGCCCGACCATGCGTCATCTGTTGCAGAAAGCTCCTGGTTGGTGAGGCAGTCTAGCACTGGACGCCACGGGAGGCAGTGCCCCTTGCTTGGCATGCATTGAGTAGGTATGTATGAAAACCCGTCAGAATAGCGGCTGAGCATGGATGACAGATTTGTTCAAAGAGACCACGAATCTGGGAGAAAAAACGCTAAATGTTTTAAACAATTCAATGCCTTTAATCCCAAGCACTTGCATGCACTCAGTCAAATGAAGCCTTTCTTCTTATCTTCTCGCGTTATGGAACACTTCTCCAGGACCTCCACTTCCGAACCACACCATCGGCATGAAAAAGAGTATTGACAATCTCAAATCATGGCGTTGTATGACCTGTTCATAGACTAACCGAAACTGGCACAGTCGAGGACGTCAGAAATGGGTATCCACGTTACACAGCACTGCTGTCCACTCACGACCCCTATCTTATTTGCCGGCGGTTCACCAAGATCAGAGCTAGGCCTATGCTCTTGAAGCAGGATAAGCTCTGCGTGTTGGAACAGAAACTCGAGAAAATCGACCAAGAAGAAATCTCTCCGCTCTTCCTCGGGGTGAGCCGTCTTGATCGGAATCCAGCTAGACAAGATGTTTTGTCAGAAATCGAATCCTCTCTTGCCGAGTATGATGCATTCGCGGAGAGAACTCATCGCATGCTATCGCTTGCGTCCGGCAATCCCAGAGACGTCCAAAGTCTTCGTAATTAGCTTGAGGGGACGGGTTGCATTTCCAAGGTCGAACAATCGTATCTGTCCCACAAGGGAGAACTCGCATGCTTGTCGCCGCATGGTGATAGCGCGTTATTTCACCTGGAGTCATGGGTGGAGAACAAACTTCGTCAGTTGTTTAAATCCTCTTTCAGAAAGCTACGTACTAACCCTACCCCCTGGGAAGGTGAAAGGCTGACAGCTTCATTGAGCAGAGGCCATATCACAATCTTTCGTCGGATCCGAATGGTTTTATGTATACCGGCCCATGGGTTAAACGAACAGCAAAAGTACTTCTGTTGTTTTTGATCACACTCCTACTGATCATGCCAGTGGTTTTTGCAATCTCACCAACACCTTGTCAATCAGAATCTTCGTAGTCATGGCATGCACCATCTCTTACCTCGTCATACTCTTCACGTTAACCAACTCAAGGACCATGGACTTGGTGTTGGCAGGTGCGACGTGAGTTCTCGAGCCCACCCTCCCCAAGACTTTTGCGTAGCCTTGGTGTGTACTCATACGAGACTTTTAGGTATGCCACCATTCTTATTGTCTTTGTGTCCAGTACCACGGACCACTAGAATATTTGGAATGGCAACAACACAGCTTTCTGGGGATAGCAGCCTTTTCAGCCGGTCGTTCTATAGATCTTGGTGTACATATGCTACAAAACATCCATGCACACACATCACACATAAAACGAACGTGCGACCACTGCACTTGACCCCCGGATCACCACAGATCGGCGCGGGTATGTCTCGAACCTACTCTGGGTCCAAATACAGCCTCACAAACGCATAATCCTCAGGACTACCTGCGATCGTGGGAACCGTTCACAAAATTCACTCCCTCCATCCTCCGATCAGCCAGGCTGATTATAAATGCGGCAAAAACTCCGTCCACTCTACCGTCTCATACAACCCCCTCGGCGCCCCCCTCAAACTCACAAAAGCCTCCACAACCAAATACACCCTCGCAACCACAAAAGCCCCCAAAACCACATACACCCCCAACCTCCGTCCCCACCTCACCAATCTCCCCCGCCCCTTGCCATCTTTCCCCGTCAAAGTAATCGGCATAGAAGGATTAACCCCCGAAACCCACCCATCAAACCCCGGCCAGCACTGCCTCGCAGAGAAAAAACCCCACAACACCACACCCGAAGCCGTTATCGTCAACGCAGAAACAATCCACAGTATCCTCTCTGCCTCTGCAACAAAGCTAAACGTCTCGAAATTGTTGAAGCCCGCTGAGCAATGCAGCGCTCCATAAGCTGCGGCTGTGGCAGCGAGTACGGCACGGAGGCGGTCACGGTGGATGTTGACTTGGCCGAGGGAGAGCTTATGGAGAGAGGGAAAGTTGACTATGTGAGGGGCGAGGTAATCTGCCTCGCCGA